AATTTAATGTTCATTTGGTAATACATTTTAAATATCGGATGAAGCTGAGATAGAGAAGGGACTACCAAGTAAGGGATGCTTGGGGGCTCGCTCAGGATGCGTGCTGAAAGTAGACTATGGACAGAACATGATGACCTCTTAGTCCCATATTGCAAACCATAACGCCCAGAAGGAGAGAGTAAAAAGGAATGTGCCTGCTACAGAGGCGTTGGGTGCTGGGGGGTGATGGGGGAGAGATACTGGGAACATTGGTGGTAGAGAATGGGCACTGGTGGAGGAATGGGTACTGATCATTGTATGACTGAAAGTAATCTCAAAATTGTGTAAATCTGTAACTGTACCTCACGGTGATTCACTGTAGCACTGTAGCATTGTCCTCCAGTTGTTCGTTGATTTGTTCAAGCAGGATCCAGTAACATCTTCATTGTGAGACTTGTTACTATTTTTGGTATATCTAATATGCCACAGGTAGCTTGCCAGACTCTGCCATGCCGGCAGGATACTCTCGGTATCTTGCCGGGCTCTCTGAGAAGGACGGAGGAATCAAACCCGGGTTGGCTGCGTGCAAGGCAAACGCTCTACCTGCTGTGATGATATTTTCATTTCTGTTAGTTGGTTACAAGCAATAGAAACTAGTTTAAGCTAAAAAGAAATTAGAGGCCAGGAAGATAGTCCAATGGGTAAGGTGCTTGCACCCTGGCACCTACCATCCATGGTCCCCTGAGCACCATCCAGGAGTGATCCCTGAATTAAAATCTGCTCACTGCTGGATGTGGTACCCAAACAAACAAACAAAAGACAAAATTTTGTCATGATTTTTGGAGCTAGAGGAGATTATGTGAAGTGGAAAACAGGTCACAGGCAGAAGGACAAACACCGGATGATCTGTGGTAATAGAGAAACAAAGCAGGGGAATGGACAGATTCTGGTAGCAAACACTTGGACTCAGCAGGGTGAGGGTACCAGGAAGTCACGGTGGGTAAAGGTGGGAGAGAAAGAAGCGGATGAAAGTGATGTGACAGACGACAGTGGAGGGCCTCTGACACTTTGGGGTACAAGTGCAGTAACTGTCCATCAGAATTATCAACTTGAAAATTGTTGTGAACCCATCACATAACTACAATTAAGCAAGTTCTGTTTTGCTTTTCTTCCTGAATTTCATGTTTCAACCGAGGGGAAAAATTTGTATGTGTTTTTAAAATCTCTCTGATATTGGTGCCAGAAGCGTAGTACAGTGGAGAGGGCATCTGTTTTGCACATGGCTGACCTGGGTTTTATCTTCAGTACCCCATGTGGTCCTCTGAGCCCTGCCAGGAATGATCCCTGAGCACTGGTTGTGGCCCTAAGAGAACAAACAAAATCTCTATTTCCTTCCAATCCTAGAAACTGAGAGAAGTGTTTCTTTAGATATGCTAAATCTTCAAGAACCCAAGACTTTTTTTGTGGCGAGGTGGGGGGGGGGTGAGAGGAAAGTGGGCCACTCCTGGTGGTGCTCAGGGCTTACTCCTGACTCTGTGCTCAGGGATCCCTCTAGGCAGTGCTCAGGCATCAAACCGGGGCCAGCTGCATACAAGGCAAGCTCCTGACTCATAGTACTATCTCTCTGGCCCAGGAAATAGTCATTAATTGATGCATTTATTCAGGGTTTAGTTGTTTGAACATCTTCATTAGTATCTGTGCGCAGAAACGTGTTTCAACCCGTGACATTCATGTTCTCTTTTGTTGATTAGTTTCCAAATCTTCCAAAGGAGCAGGGTTTATCACCTTTAATGTCATCTTCTGGCAGAGCTTTAAATGAGAAGCATTGAGCTAGGCACAGAGGCTGTAGTCCCCAAATGTTCATCACCTGAAGCACCTGAGTCACCTGTAAAGAGCCAAATAGGCAAGTTTATTCCTGGCTTAGGGTATCAGGACAAGACCAACTGGTGGTTTAGCTACTGAAGCCATGATTCAAAATGGACAAAACACAGAAGAGGCGAAATATCAAAGGGCCACCAGTACTCTGACTGGTAGCTAAGTCAAACAATGTGTGTTAGAAGCCATGAGAGTTGCAGGTGACAACTGATGAGAGGTTATACAGGACATATTTTGAGGTGAAAAATATGGAAAGACTGGCGCTAGATACAAGGTACATCATTGTGTCTTCTCCTCCTCTTTGGAACGTATTTTAAAATGCACAACTCAAAAGAGAAATGAGCTAATTTATGCTACTGTTAAGGTAAAAATATATAATTAATAGAGGAGTGGCTAGAACCATCTGAAGAAGAGAATAGGTTTGTGGGCCCCATTTCCTCTCTGGGATTGGCCCCCCTTGTGGGTGGAGCCTGGGTATGTCTTTGTGTAGAGGTGCTGGGTTTTGAGTAGGTGCCCTGCTTCTGGGCCAGCAGCATTACACTGCCATGTTTGTATTTTTAACTAATGGCAAGAAGCTAGGAACCAAGATGAAACTGGAATGATGCCTTGAAGAAACAGTTCTCAAAAATGTTTGTGAGAAATCTTGGTTCAGGAAAGCGTTAGCTCAATGTTTTTTAGTTTGGTTTTGGGACCATGCCCAGTGGTGCACAGGGATCACTCCTGGTGGGCTTGGGGAACAATATGTAGTGATGGGGATCAAATTCCAGTCAGGAGCATGGAAAGCAAACATCTTACCTGCTGTGCTATCTCTGGGCAAATTTGTAGACTGTGTTGGAGAGTACAATATGTTAGAGAAATTTTATAGCTGTTAAGGCCCCCAAACCAAAAATTGATATACTTTTATTTCAAAAATATTTCTGAAGTTGAATTGCTTTATAACAAATTTCATGTGTCCACTATTATAAATTAGTTTTTGTATACTATATTTTCCTCACCCATATATTTTTGATATTTTTTCTATTTTTTTTATTGAATCACATGAGCTAGTTACAAAACTGTTGTTTGAGTTTTAGTCATACAATGATTGAACACCTATCCCTCCACCACCAATGGCCCCAGTATCCCTCCCCCATATTTTTTCTATTTTCATTTTTCTCTAGGTCACTGTCACTGTCATTGTCTTCCCGTTGTTCATCGATTTGCTCAAGCGGGCCCAGTAACATTGTAAGACTTGTTACTGTGTTTGTCTCTATGTATGTTTTTTTTTTCCTTTAGTTTTTTTTTTTTTTTTTGGTTTGTTTAAGTAGTTTGGGGAGTGTTGTTTAATGTCTGTGTATGGCGAGTGTTTCACCCATTACTAAGTTCCAGTTTAGAACCACTGTGGTCAAAGCCAGCATTTGATACTTCAATTTGAATATGCTAACTTGTTTTCTGTCCTAACAAATAATTCATCACAGAAGATATTCCATGTGCACTGCTTGAGAAGGGTGTGTATTTAGCCGTGGTCAGACTGTTCTGTATAAACTGTTGGGTTCATTCAGGCTAAGGTGTTGTTAAGACTATGCTTCGGGTGTTGAGGAGGGATTAGCATAGGGATAATGGTGTAGGCAAAAGAAGACTCCAGTGGAGGGTGTAGTGCTGGAATATGTTATGCATGAAACCCTATCATTAACAGTATTGTCAACCACAGTGTCTAAAATTTAACAATTAAAAGTAAGTCTTGTTTCTAGGGCTGGAGAGATGGGAGGGATTAAAGCACTTGCCCTGCAGGTGCTCAACCTCTAGTTGGCACCAAATAAGGTACCCTGAGCACTGCCTGGATTGAACCTTAAGAACCACTGGGTGTCTCCCTCCCCCTGCCAATGACCCTCTTTATTGCTACTTTGGGTAATTTATCTATTGCTAAAAGTAGGAGTGAAAGTTCCCAACTATTATTGTAACCTACTCAAAAGGTGGGGTGCCTATATTTTTACAATGTTTGTATACCCTTTATTAGTTTATTTAATTAGTTATTAGTCTTCATTTTCAATTTTTAGTTTAACTTCTATTCTCTTTTATATCTGCAGCTGTGTGTAGGTTTTTTTGTGTGTTTTGGTGTGTGGTTGGGCCACACATGGCAATGGTTGGGGGCTACTTATAACTCTGTGCTCAGGGTTCACTCCCAGTGCTGCTTAAGGGACCACGTGGTACAGTGGATGGAACTCTGGCCTCCAGCCTGCCAAGCATGTACCAGCCCAGTGAGCTTTCTCTTTACCCTCTATCATATTCTTTTGAATTTCTATAGAGGAATAGCCATCACCTGTCTTCATTGAACAGGGCCAGAGATCTGTAACTAGACTAAAATGATTATTTCATGAACATCTCCACTCTCCAACTTGAAAAGAAAAAAATGGCTTGAAGTAAAAGTAATTCATGCTTTCGGCTTTCTATCTGGATTTGTGGATCCTCAATTGCAGTTCCTTCATCCTCAATAAATATGCTTTGTCTTTTAAATGCAATTTTAGGTAACTGTCACATAATTGTGAAAAACACGCTTATGTCATTTACCCTACTCTAACCAGGCACTCACCCATACTTTGTCAACACTACAAACATAGTCGTAAATTATTGTATTGATACAAATCTTTCCTTAAAGTCGCAACACTGTCACGGATGCTGTAAAAATTACATATAGAGAGACATCATAGGAATTACTTTTACTTCAAAGCAATGATTTCTTTTCAGCATTTTTGTTAAAAACAAAGTCTCACAGGACGACAACTTGGCTTGAATCCTCTTAAGACTGATTTCCAGGGCGGGAGAGGTAGCTCCACAGCCTGAGGACTTGCCTGCTCGCCCAGGGTTTGGTCCCAGACAAAGCAAAAAGATCCCCGGAGCATCGCTGGGAGTGCCCTGGAGCAGCTTCTGAGCTTGCGTGCTGGGTGGGGCACAAGAATAAACAAAGTATCTATTTCCCGCACACTGAAACAATTTACCTAGTAGTTGAATTGGCCATGGTTTATTCTGTGAAATAGCTGAGGTAGCAGCACGGACCGACGGGACTGTCCTTGGTGCTCCTTCCCGGCTTCGGGGACCCTTTGGGGCCGTCTGGACCCAGGCCGGAACCCAGGCCGGAACCGTAGAGCGGAGACACCGGTTTCCGGCGGGCTCCTTAGAAAGCGGACCAGCTTGGGGGCCGGGAAGCATGCGAGGGCCGGAGCCCGGGCCTGGACCTACCATGGAGGGGGACGTGCTGGACACCCTGGAGGCGCTGGGGTGGGTATTCCCAGCGACGCCGTCGCTTCGTGCACCGGGCGCCTCCTTGCAACGCGGGGTCCCTCCCGCGGGGCCGCCGCCGTCCCCGGCGCCCGGCCCGGCCTTGCTCCCGCCGGTGGCGCGCGGGCGGGACTAGCCCGTTTGGGGGCGCCTGGGGGGCGCTGGGGGTGCGCTTGGGGGGTGGGAGGTGCATCGGGTCGAAAGCTGGGCCGCGGGCTCCGTGTCCTAACCCGCCGGCCCCCTACCCCGAGCTCCGTGAGGCCGGAGGCGGACCCCGGCCCCGAGCGTGTAGCTTTGGGGGGTGCGTCCCCGGCGGCCCCAGGACACTGCGCTCGCTTCCCGCCGGCCGCCACCACCTGTTGCTCGGTTCGGGCGGGGGACGGGCTTCCCGCCCCTCTCCGGGGGCTCCCTGGACTCCCGCAGCCCGGTCCCATCTGCTCGCCGCCCCTGATCTCCCCCGGAGACGGTCCTTGCCACCTCTGCCCGTCGGCTGCCTCGGGGCCGAGTGAGCGTGGACGCCGGGCCGGGCTGCGCTCTCACGTCCCCTGCACCCCTGCACCCACCGACTTGGAGTTCACCGCGAGTTCATTCATTCCTGCCACCCCCGCAGCCTCCGTTAGCGACGCAGCCCCGAGGGGTCCGTAGGGACTCACTGAGAGCTAGGGTATGGGCTAGGCGGAGGGAAAAGCTGCCGGTAGTTTTCTAATAGATTTCGGATCGATTCCCAGTAGGTTTCCGATTGCCCGGCGGGAAGGCCGCGCGCGCACTGCAGAGAGGCGACTGGTCCCGCGCACGGAGGGGGTGGGGGGGGCGGGAGGGGACAGTGCGTGCACTAGCCGCACCCTGCAGCTTCTCGCAGCCCCTATCTCTTCTCAGATGATCCTGTTTTGCCTATTTATTGTCCCTTAGACCCTCTTTTCTCCCTCACCCCTCCAAGTCAACTCAAGGATGTTCCCGGCAACAGCCACTGTGGGTCCCAGGGTTGTTGGCTGTGGGGGTTGGCATAGAATGAGGTACGAGAAGGAGGGAGGGGGAGGAAAGAGAGAGAGGGAGGGAGGGAGTTGGGGGGAGAGGAGAGGGTGAAAAGGGTCAGATAGTGTTCAAAAATACTCTTCAAAGAGACAGCAACACTGCTTCACAAGTGTTCATCCGCCTGGCGAACTTTCTTGTTCTCCCATGGCATAGTTTCCTGTGCCGTCGTGAAGTCTGGAAGCCGCTTCCCCCTGTCCTCAACGTTTTCCCAAACTGCGTGCTCATCTATCAACTGCTTTTGTGATGCGATAACATACACTTTGCTTTGATTCACAGACACTTTGCTTTGTTTCGCCACTACTTGACCTGTACCCAGCAGGTCCTGAGTAAATGCTAGTCAAATAAAATAGCAGTGATTAATTAGGGAATTAAAATTTGTTTTCTGGAGGGTCAGGCAGGCCAGCTTTGTTCAGGGGGTTACTGAGATCTGCACCTGCACACACACCAGCAGCTCTTTCTTTCCTTTCTTTCTTTCTTTCTTTCTTTCTTTCTTTCTTTCTTTCTTTCTTTCCTTCTTTCCTTTCTTTCTTTCTTTCTTTCTTTCTTTTTTTCTTGCATGGACACCAGCAACTTTCTTTCTTTCTTTCTTGCACTCACACCAGCAGCTCGCTCGCTCGTTCGTTCTCTTTCTTTCTTTCCTTCCTTTCTTTCTTTCTTTCTTTCTTTCTTTCTTTCTTTCTTTTTTTTCTTGCATGGACACCAGCAACTAACTTACTTTCTTTCTTTCTTTCTTTCTTTCTTTCTTTCTTTCTTTCTTTCTTGCACTCACACCAGCAGCTCGCTCGCTCGTTCGTTCTCTCTCTTTCTTTCTTTCTTTCCTTCCTTCCTTCCTTCCTTCCTTTCTTTTTTTCTTTTTTTCTTGCATGGACACCAGCAACTTTCTTTCTTTCTTTCTTTCTTTCTTTCTTTCTTTCTTTCTTTCTTTCTTTCTTTCTTGCACTCACACCAGCAGCTCGCTCGCTCGTTCGTTCTCTTTCTCCCTTCCCTTCCCTTCCCTTCCCTTCCCTTCCCTTCCCTTCCCTTCCCTTCCCTTCCCTTCCCTTCCCACCTTCCTTTTTTTCTTGCATGGACACCAGCAGCTAGCTTGCTTGCTTGCTTGCTTGCTTGCTTTCTTTCTTTCTTTCTTAATATGGCTGTGGATTGAGCCTAGATCCACATCCCTGACTAGGTGGTGTTTTTACGTACATGAAGTCCTTAGGAATTTTTTACTTAGCTTGGCCAAGGAGTTCACCAAACATGTTAAAATACTCAGTAGCATGATAGAAGCATTTAGGCCTCAAACACTGGCTAGAGGGAGTGCCAGAGAGTATAGTGGGTAAAGGAACTAACCTTATTTAGTGTTAGTTGAAGATGCAAGATTCCCCCACCCCACCTCACCCTTATAGAGGGAATGGATCACTTGCTTTGCATCTGTGAGTGCTTGGGTTTGATTGCAGCACTCCCCTTCCCCCATCTCCCCCAAAAAGAAAAGGTATCATAGTATTTTTTTAAAGGAGTCTGTGTCTTTCTTCCTTCATCCTTGAATTTGTTTATAGGTTTGAAAAATGAAATTTGCTAAAATCTTTTATCAAAGAAAATTAGTTTCACCTCAGTTTTCCTCTAGTGATAACAAAATGTACAGAGTTGTCTTTCCCCTACAGTATGCATTATAACTGACATGTAAAAATATGCATGTGGGTTGTTAATACCTCCCCTCCTCTCCTCACCCCTCTCTTTTCCTCACCTGCTAACTTGGATAGGAGTTCAATGCTTGTGCCCAAGGATGCAGTGCTGCTTAGGCCCTACTGTGCTGGGGACCACCAGGGTGACACCCAGCAGTGCTGGACTGGGGTGGTGTGGGGGGCAGTGTTCTCTAGGACTGCACCCTTGATACTAGGTATGTGGTGCTGGGGATCGAACTGGGCAACCGCATGCTACATACTAGTACCTACCTAACATATTAGGTAGGTACTATCTTCCCAGCCCTATATACATTTTTATATTTTGAGCAAAACATTTAGAATGTCCATGAAGGTACTTTGGTTTGTCAAGGAAAATAGGAAATGAAGGGGAGGAATTAAAAGGTAAAATGTATGTGAAAGAACAGTTTAGGGAAGTATAGGATATTATTGGTGAAAACCATAGGAATTCGTTTTTTTCTCATCTAGGAAAGCATAAAAGAAGCAGCTGACTTCTTTTTTTGCCTTTTTTTTTTTAAAGGGTCACATCTGGCGATGCTCAGGGGTTACTCCTGGCTCTGTACTCGGGAATTACTCCTTGCTGTGCTCAGGGAACCATATGGGTTACTGGGGATCGAGCCCGGGTCAGGAGCATGCAAGGCAAGCACCCTCCCTACTGTATTATATCGTTTCAGCCCCAAGAAGCAGATGACTTAAATCATTTGGTTCTGTGGGTTTTTGGGGGGAACAGAAAAAAACCTGAAAAAAAAAGACCTCAACCCAGGCTTTTTATCAGAGTCACATATGGAGCTTGTGAAAAAGGTTCCAAACTGGTGTATTCTACAGTTGACTCCATCATGACCCTCATGAGTACAGTACAGGCATCCGTATTTTTTCTTTTGTCAGGAACTCCAGACTATACAGCAACAGATCATGGGGCATGCATGGCACTGGGGTACACATACCCTGGGTGTACCCCAGTGCTTGCCCTGGTGCTTTCAAGGCCACTGAGCCATCTTTGGGAAGTCGTCTGTGATGATCTTTAAAAGCAGGACTGTCTGGATTGCCTTAGTACGTGCTGTTTTGCATTGGGGTTTGAACTTGGAGCCTTGGACTTGGCAAGTGCGTTAAGCCACTAAGCCACCTTCTGAGCCCTTGTCACAGCAGTCACAGCCAGTACCACCCTGCCTCTCCTGACTGTTATGCGCCCAGTGTGTGAGTGGCGTCAAGGTTTGAATTCATGACCTGTGTTTGTTGGGTATGTGCTTTAAATCCAAGACCTCTTTTAGATGTCCAGGAATGGTTTTTGTTGTTTGTTTGGGGGCCACATCTGGCATTGTTCAGAGCTTACTCTTGGCTCTGCACTCAGGGATCATGCCTGCTGGCCTCTGTAGCACCGTTTGGGATGCTGGGGTTTGCACCCAGGTTGACTACTTGCAAGGCAAACACCCTTCCCCTTTGTACTATAGCTCTGCCCTCCCTTCCCTGGCCCCCAGGTTTCAGTCTTAATAATATTCCCTCCCTTCCCAGTAGCAACCACATTTAATAATTTTGGATTCTTCTATAAAATTTTACTTTTTTTTTAATTAAAAGATTGCTTGCAATATATTGTTTTATTGCTAAATATACACACAAATTATTGTTATTTTGTATCTGGGATTGATTCTCAGAGGTGTGGTTGTTGGGTCAAAGGTAAAAGGGTGTGTAGTTTTGCTTTATGCTACTAAATTTTCCTCTAGGGGTTGCAGCATTAGATAAAAGCATTTTCATCCCCTCCATAATTCACCAAAGTTATCATTATAATTGTTTTACCATCTGGCATCTCAGTATAGTTTTAATTTACATTTTTCTTATGAGCCGAGAACTGTAACATCTTTTTATATGTTTAAAGTACATTTGCATTTCTTTCTCTCTCTCTCTCCCTCTCTCTTTCTTTCTTTCTTTCTTTCTTTCTTTCTTTCTTTCTTTCTTTCTTTCTCTCTTTCTTTCTCTTTCTTTTTCTCTCTCTCTCTTTCTTTCTCCCTTCCTTCCTTCCTTCCTTCCTTCCTTCCTTCCTTCCTTCCTTCCTTCCTTCCTTCCTTCCTTCCTTTCTTTCTTTCTTGCACCATGGTGGTTTACAAAACTTTTTGAGGGGAGGGCATTGGGTCACACTCAGTAGGGCTCAGGGCTTACCCCTGGCTCTATGCTCAGGGATCACACCTGGTGTTGCTCAGAGGACCACACACAGCCATGCACAAGACAAACCACATTAACCTCAGTGCTATCTCTCAAACTGCATTTCTTTTTCTCTGAATTCTTGATCATATCACATAATGGGTGAATATTTTCCAGTCCACATTTTGCAGTTAAAAAGTGAAGAATTACCAGTCAGAGAGATAGTACAGCAGGTAGGGTTTGAATCACTGGTGCCGTGTATTGCCCTCAAAGCACCACCAGCAATGAGCCTTAAGTACAGACCCGAGAGTAAACCCTGAGTACAGCTGGGTATAAACAAAAAGATTGAAAGTGACAATCTAGTATGTATGTAATTCATAATTTTTATTTGTAGGGTTTATTAAATGTCATTAGAAATGAGTTTCATTTTAAAAGAAACACAAATATATGAAAGGGTTAGAGAGGACAGTGGGTAAGGAGCTTACCTTTTGTACTGCTGATCCCCTTTTGATTCCACATATGGTCCCCTGAGCACCAACAGGAAGGATTCTTGAGCACCACTGGCTGTGGCCCTAAAACTAAAAAAAAAAAAAAAAAATTATCTGTGTATCTTTAAAGTATATGTGCTTAATCCTGGCTCTGTGCTTAGGGATCATGCCTAGCAGTGCTGGAGGGACCTTATGTGGTACCAGAATCTAATTCAGGTCAGCCTGTGCAATGCAAACACTTTAACCCCTTAAGGCCCAAAACCTTGGGATTCTTTTTTTCTTTGGGGCGAGGTGTGGTAGTCAGCTTGGGAGAGGCACATCCAGTCATGCTAAGGGGTTACTCCTGGCTCTGCACTCAGGAATTACTCCTGGCGATGCATCTAGGGTGTCAGGGAGTGAGCCCAGGCCAACTGCATGCAAGGCATGCACCTTACCCTCTGTACTGTCTCGCTGGTCCTATACTTTAATTGTCACTGAAAAAAAAAGTCTCCTTGGAGAAATGGTGTTTTTAAAGGTATAGGACAGAAGCATCTTGTAAGCAATGAAAGTATTCAGAGAATACTAGGAATGATTCATTGTGCAAGCATTAATGAACTTTCACTAACCAGGAATAGGACACTTTTGGAGGGAATAGTACAGGGATTAGGTTTGTGCCTGGCCTGTGGCCACCCCTGATTTGATCCTTAGCACTGCATGGTCCTGGGAGCACAGAGTAGCCCATAGAGCACAACTGGGTGTGGCCCAAACCCTCTCTTCACAGATGCAAAGAAGAACAAAAGGGGCTGAGGTGATAGTACAGAGGGCACAGCAGGAGGCTTGCCTGAGGGTTCGATCACTCTGGCATCACATACCTGAGCCTGCCAGGAATGATCCCTGGGCTCTGGATTGTGGCCCCCAAACAAAACACAAACAGAAGAATAATAAAAGAAGAAAACGTATGTAGTGCAATTAAGGTAACATTAAAAATAAATTAGAAATTTTATTTTATTTTTTTGTGCTGGGGTTTGGGGCCACCCTCTCTGGTGCTCAGCTCTTCTTGACTGCTCAGGAGTGGTGGGTTGGGGGGACCATAGGTGGAACCAGGAATTGAAATGGGCTTAACCTAGAGCCAGGCAAATGCCTTATATCCTGTCTATCTCTCTGGCTCCTAAAATAATTTGAAAAGTCAAGGCTCTGTTGAAATATACTCTGCAGTAGTTTTTTTTTTTATTTTTTGGGTTTTTTTAAACAATATAGTTAAAAATGCATTCACAGCCGCACAACATCTTATTATCTCGTTCTTACTTTGGGCAACCTGGCAGGCCACGGAATGTAACCTGCCCACATGGCAGAGTCTGGCAAACTCCCCGTGGCGTACCCAATGTGCCAAATACCAGTAACAGTGATGAGTCTCATTCTCCTAACCCTGAAAGAGCCTTGAATATGGCACTTTTTAAAATCTCAGGGCTAGGAAGAAGGAGACGTTACTGGTGCCTGCTCGAGGCAATCGACGAACAACAGCATGATCGTGATTTTGAACAATGTAGATTTAATAGCACAGCGGTAGGGCGTTTGCCTTGCATGCAGCCAGCCAGGTTCGATTCCTCCACCCCTCTCGGAGAGCCTGGCAAGCTACTGAGAGTATCTCACCTGCATGGCAAAGTCCGGCAAGCTACCCGTGTTGTAGTTAATATGCCAAACACAGTAACAAGTCTCAGAATAGAGACGTTACTGGGCCCGCTTGAGCAAATCGATGAACAATGGGAGGACAGTGACAGTGATAGAATTTAAAACAAATGGATTAGATCCAAAATTATTTCAGATGCTTTTCCGCTTTAATTTTTTTTGAGGGGTGGGCCACACCTGATGATATTCAGGGGTTCCTCCTGACTCTGCGCTCAGGAATCATTGCTCGTGGTGAATGGGGAACCATTTGGGATGCTGGGGATCAAATCCTCGTTGGGGCTGTGTGCAAGGCAAGTGCCCTACCCACTGTAGTATCACTCTACCCGCAGCTTTAGTTTTTAAAATTCGGTTCTCTCTATTTTTTCTTACAATGAGTGACGTTATTAGCATCTGTTTTATTTGACGGTGTTAATATATAATGTTTAGATTAAAATTGGTTGATAACTTTTGCTTCAAATGTTTGTAACATCCCAAATGTAGATTATATGGAGTAGGACCATTTCTGTCACGAACCGCATAGTAAACATTTTAGGCTTCGTCCATACTGTCCCTGTGACTCAACTTTTGTCATTGTAAACAGCCAGAGGCAGTATGTAAAGAGATAATTTGTTATAATATGTCACTTAATGTGAAGTGGGGAGAGAAGTGGCAGCCTCAGGAGGGGAGTCTGTTACTTTCCTCTCTCCTCACCTTGGTTCTTCAGAGAAATACCTGGGGGAGCTTAGGACTGATGGAAGCCTGCTTTGAGCACCTGCCTGGTGCAGACCTTACGGACTCGATGCCTCACCAGCTCCACCGGGCAGTGGTCAAACTGCACTTGAGTCACACTTGTTTTACTGGGAAATGATCCCTACCATCTGGTTTCTTGGAATTTCTATGGAATTCAGGTTAGAGTGAGGGGAGGGGAGGGGAGGGGAGGGGAGGGGAGGGAAGGGAGCCCTAAGTTTTACCCAGGTTTTCCAGAAACATCACTTCTGTGCAGAAAAAAAATTCAGAAAGGAGATGAAGAGTGTAGTGAAATAGGTTTGTTTGTGAAATGTAGGGAGAGAAAGACTTACCAGCTCCAGAGACCAGGAGTTTCTCCAGAGTGGAGTGAGCACTTGGTCACCTTGGAATGGAATTGTAATTAGGTATTTTCCATAATTTCTTTGGTCTCAAATTCTTTACACAAGTAAGAGCTAACTGGGCTTTTCACGGGTGGAAAGCATTAAACTTCTGGTGGCTCATTCTCGAGTTCTCTGTGGCTTGTCCATGAAGTCCTGGAGCCCCTCTTCCCAGGGATCCAGCCTTGCTCTAGACCTGGAATTCTGCATCACAGAGGCTTTCCAGGCTCCTCAGATGGATCTCTGCCTGCAACGTTTTGTCCTAATAAAGTGGTTTCTTTTTTTTTTTTTTTTTTTTTTTGGTTTTTGGGTCACACCTGGCGGTGCACAGGGGCTACTTCTGGCTCATGCACTCAGGAATTACTCCTGGCAGTGCTCAGGGGACTATATGGGATGCTGGGAATCAAACCCGGGTTGGCTGTGTGCAAGCAAATGCCCTACCTGCTGTGCTATTGCTCCAACCCCCAGTCCTAATAAAGTTTTATAAAAACAGATGTGGAGGGGAGAAAAGTAGGTCTGAATGTATTGAGTGTTGTGGGAATTTTTGCTGTTGTTGTTGTTGCTTTTTTAACATTTTGTTGTCTTCCTTCCTAGGTATAAGGGACCACTGCTAGAAGAGCAAGCCCTTAGCAAGGCAGCAGAGGGCGGATTATCATCACCTGAATTTTCAGAACTCTGTGTTTGGTTAGGCTCTCAGATAAAATCATTGTGCAACTTGGAAGAAAGTATCACTTCAGCTGGTATTGTCATTGCATTTTGTTTATTTATTTTTAGTTTAGTAGTAAAATGAAATGATAGCTTATGAGTTACAATTTCATCTGACTATAAAGTGATGTCATAGGATTAAACTTTATATTCAAATTTCTTCTTATATTTGTCTAAAGTTGTAAGCAGTTGTTGGCATATTTGCTCTCTTAGCCTTAGTTTTGTCCTTTGGAAGAAATAGGATCTGATGAAAATAAATTCAAGAAAGAAAAAATAGAGTCTAAATTTGTAGTCTCAAAAAGCTTATTTTTGAGTAGTATTATGAATTAAGGTGGTTATTTTTGACAGTTGAAGAGGGGAGGGGAGAAGAGTCTCTTAATGATATTAGACCTAGAGGTAAGGGCCCGAATATTTAAGTTTAGCCTGAGGTACAGTGTGACTGGACCAGTGGTGCCCGGGAGTACTTGAGTTGTGTGGGATTGAACTCCTCTGGCCATGTGCTTGCCAGACATGTGCTTCTAGCCCTTTGAGTTATCTCATATCCCTAACATACTCCTTTAAAGTACATGTTGTCCTAGATTAAGAGTTACTACCATGAGTATAATGTTGACAAAGGTTTATATAGTAATACCTTTCTTTAAAATATCTGGATTAACTGTAGAAGTTATTCCAGATTTTGGGGGTGTATTCCATATACCCTATAGTCATTATTATCAGGGTGTATGGAGACCTTGTAGTTTTTCGGTAGAATTTATGACTGTGTAAAAAAAAATTTTTTTTAGGCTTTTGCTAAAGTCAAAGTAGTCCTCCCTTCTGTGAAGGGAGTACTTTTAACTTTTTTTCCCCTTGCCTAAATCACTTGAAATAAGATAAACTAAGGTGAATTAAAAATTGATGTCACAAGTTCTTTATAATTAAGATAGTGAGATTTAGGTGATTACATTTAGGCTGGAGCGATAGCACAGCGGGTAGGGCGTCTGCCTTGCACGCAGCCAACATGGCCGACCTGAGTTCGATTCCTCCGCCCCTCTCGGAGAGCCCGGCAAGCTACCGAGAGTATTGGATATGCCAGACACAGTAACAACAAAGTCTCCAATGGAGACGTTACTGGGCCCGCTCGAGCAAATCGACGATCAACGGGAGGGCCTTTACCTTTACCTTTACCTTTACATTTAATTTTGAATTCATAAAAATACAATAGAAATAAGCTATTGACACTAAAGCCAGTCAATTATTTTAATTATAATAATGCTTTTAATATTTCAGTTGCTGACATAAAAATAATTTCACTTTATTTGCTTTTATGGAAAGTCCACTGAAAAATACTAAGGGATTCAAGTATAAAAATATAATCTTGGGCCTGGTGCAATAATACAGCTGGTACAGCATTTACCTTGCATGTGGCCAACCCAAGTTTGATCCCTGGCATCTCATATGGTCCCTTGAGTACTACCAGGAGTAATTCCTGAGTGCAGTGCCAGGAGTAATCCCTGAGCATTACCATGTGTGACTCAATCCTCCCGTGCCCTGCCCCCCACCAAAAAATGTGTATAATCTCATGATTAGATGCTAGGTTCTAAATTTAAGTGTTACTTTCCACATGTAAATATTAGTTACTTTAAGTTTTGGGGCCACAAATGTAAAGATTCAATGTGAAACTGAAAGTTTAGAATTAATTATAAAAAATTGAAATCAATTAGTGGTGATAATTCTATGGTAAATATTCAGTAAATTTTTTTTTTATTTTTCTTTTTTAAAGGAAGAGATGATCTAGAGAGCTTCCAACTTGAAATAAGTGGTTTTTTAAAAGAAATGGCATGTCCCTATTCTGTGCTCATTTCAGGAGAAATTAAAGACCGTTTGAAAAAGAAGGATGATTGTTTGAAACTTCTTTGTAAGTAGCTTTGAATATTCAAATGCTTGTGTTTGATCTAGTTTGTTATTTTTACTTTATTTATTTATTTTTTGCTTTTTGGGTCACTCCCAGTGATACTTAGGGCTTACTTCTGGCTCTGCACTCAGGAATTACTCCTGGCAGTGCTTGGGGGACCATATGGGATGCCCGGGATCAACTCAGAATGGCCATGTGCAAGGCAAATGCCCTACCAGCTGTACTATCACTCCGGCCCTTAGTTTGTTACTTTAAAATTAAGATTTAGGGGGCTGTAACAAAGTAACAAAGTATGAGATTAATACCCAAGAATAGCTGATATCAGCACCAGGAGGATTACTCCATAACTTAGAGGCCAGCCGGGTATCCTAGAGGAAAGGGCTGTTCAGATAGAGAAGGGAGCACCAAATAAAGGATGTTTGGAGGATCCTCCCAGGAGGGGAGATGCATGTCGAAAGTAGACTATGGACTGAACATGTTTGCCACTCAATGCCTCTTTTGCAGACCACAACACCCAAAAGGAGAGAGAGAACACAGGGGATTGCCCTGCCACAGAGACAGGGGGGATGGGGGGATGGGGGTGGGAGGGATATTATCCATGGTGGTGGAAAATGGGCACTGGTGGAGGGATGGGTATCTGATCATTGTATAATTGAAACCAAAGCACAAAAATTGTAAATCTACAACTTTAAAAAAAATAAAATAAAATAAAGGGGAAAAAAAAAAAAGATTTAGGGGGCTGAAGCAATAGCACAGCAGGTAGGGCGTTTGCCTTGCATGCGGTCGACCCGGGTTCAATTCCAGCATCCCATATGGTCCCCTAAGCACCGCCAGGGGTAATTCCTGAGCGCAGAGTCAGGAGTAGCCCCTGTGCATCGCTGGGTGTGACCCAAAAAGAAAAAAAAAAAAGATTTAGGAGATTTATTATTGAAGTTTTTTGTATATTAAAAAGATTTTAATATTGGACTTAAAATATGAAGCCAACTCATAAATAAATGTAGCATAAGTTCTAATATATCATCTAACATTTCTGGCCTTTTTGATTTATCTGGAATACTCTGTGCTTGTGGTTTTGTTGTTGGGGATGGTGACACACCCAGCTGCTTGCAGGGTTTACTCCTGACTCTACTCAAGGAACATTCCTGGAGGTACTCAGGGGACCTTATATAGTGCCAGGGATAGAACCAGGTCAGCCAGGTGCATGGCAAGCATCTTAATCCCTGTATTATATCTCTGGCCCTTATCTTGGAATTTATAACTAAGTTAAAGTTGGTGTGCTCCAACATCCTGTTTAATCTTAAAGCTCTGGAAAATAGCCTTTTGATAACTTTTACTAAATTTTGTCTTTAGGAAGATTCCTTGAAAGTTGGCTCAGTTATTTATTGGCTCAGCTTCTAATGTTTTTGAAACTACTCTAGGCACTTGGAATATAGTGGCTTTTTAAAGAAGTGACTAGTTGAATACTAATGCGTGTAGTTTCACTTAATCACTTACGAATACTAATGCGTGTAGTTTATTTTTAAATAAACTCAGTGTTTAAAGATAAACTGAGTATTTAAATAAATGAAATGAGTTTAGTTGGCTGAATTTGCAATAGCAATTACCAGTATGCAAAGAGTTAACATAAATATTAGATCTCCTTTATTTGATCCCCTTTTTTTTTCATTGACTCACTGTCAGATACACAGTTATAAAGCTGATCATGCTCAGTTTTATAATGACAGTTTCAGTTATACAATGACACCCATCCTCCACCAGTGTACATTTTCTATTAATTTATTTGATCCCTTCGTAAATCTGTTGAATTTCATGCAGTTTTAAAAACTCTACAGATAAAGCATTTGAAAGATTTTTGTTTTGTTTTGGGATCACACCAAGCATTGGCTCTGCACTCAGAGATCGCTCCTGGTGGGCTCAGGGGACCATATGGGATACCGAGGTTCAAACCCAGGTCAGCTGCGTGCAAGGCAAGCATCCTATCTGCTGCTCTGACCTTTGATTTTTTTGTTGCTGTTCGGTGTGCTGAGGAATTACACCTGGCATTGCTTTGGGGACTATATGGGGTACCAGAGATTCAACCTGGTTCGGCTACATGGTAGGCAGTTGCCCTACCTGCTGCATTGTCTCTCTGCTCCCGGAAAGATTTTACAACAAGATCCTGTGAGGGCCAGGGAGATAGTTCAAAGGGCTAAAAGGAGTCTCAGAATTTGATCCTCAACATTGCATTATCCCTCCAAGCACTGAACCAGGAATAGAACATACCCTGTTAAACAAAGGTACCTTCCTATGATATAACTCAGAGGCTTGAGTTAGTGTCAGTAATGCTTATTCCATTAGAGCAGTCATTGTGTAGGTGTGTATATTTAACTGTTGGTGGTAATAGGCATGTTAAACTTGTCCATTACTTTGTTGGATAAAATTTTGTATGTCCATCCCATTTTTTAGTTTTCCCATATTTCTCTCAGTGCAGAGTCATTGATTTAATTTCATACAAAAATAAAAGTATACCATTTTCACCTACCAAGTTAGCAAGTATGTGATATAAACATATATGGTATAGAACAAGTTTGTGGGAGTATTTATTCTCACATGCTGTGAGTCAGTTAGACTGTGATGGGAGAATAACTGTTACAAACTTTTAGAAGAGTAGATTTTCATCATCAAAAGTAAAATTCACTTATTGGGTCAGAGACATTGCTCAATTAGACTGAGCACTTGCCCTGCATTTTGGAGACCTGGATTTTGTTCACTGACACCATATGGTCCCCTGAACACTGAACCAGGAGTAACCATTGAACACTGCAAGGTGTTGCCCCCAAACCAAAAATAAATTAAACTCACCTGCCATTTTACTTTACAGTTCTATAACTAGGAATACAAGCTTATTTCCCTAAATATGTAAAGATATATGAAAAAGATGGTTTTTATTGATAAATAGAAATGGGACATTTTTATAGTAATAACACTATTACCTTTAAGATGAAAACAGATCAGATGTGTAGACAGGGAATGATCAGAACATCAATGCTCTTTTTTTTAGAAAAGAAGTAATAGATACCGATATTGAATATATGTACATTTACTATTTACACACACACAATCTAAAAAATATCCCCAAGAAATTAGTTATGGTGAATTCCTTGGGAGGATGTGTGGTGGGAAGTTTAACTTTTCACAGTGTTGTATGCCATCTGTGTGCTTAAGCATTTTGAATACTAGACTGAACTTCAGTTCATATATAGAAAAATGCCAACTTTAATCCAGGTTCTTTCCAAAATACAAACTTTTTTTGGAACTAATGATCAGTTTTAATGGAGTTTTGAAATCAGAGGGACCTTTATATAATACTCAGAAGCATAGTCTGATACATATTTGTCATGGAAAATATTTGAATTTTTGCTGAGCCGTTTTAGCAGTTAAAGCAAAAAGAGAAACAGAATGGATTGCATGGTTTTATCGACTGAAACACAGAGTATACACGTTTTGCTCAATCCTTCCTATCTATGAAAATCATCTTGGGTCTAAAACAAGCCACATGATGCTCAATTTCTTCAGTTCTAGACGTTTAGAATCATTGAGGATGAAGGCCCTGGCACTTGAAATCTCAAACAAGTATTCTGTTAAACTAAAATTGAATCTACTATATTAAATTGTAGTGCATGTGCGCTCATGTGCACAGTTTTGTGCCCACTTGTGTTTGATGTAGAACAAGTAAAAACAGAATCCGGCCAGAGCAATAGTACTTGCTCATGACTGACTTGATTTTAATCCCTGGCACCCCATAAGGTCCTCTGAGTCCAGCAAGGAGTGATCCTTGAGTGTAGAGCCAGGAGTGAGCCTTGAGCACCACTGGGTATACCTCCAAAACAAACCAAAAATAACCCACAATATTTTAGCTATTTGTAGTAAAAGTTAATTTAAAACAAGGCTATAAGTATCTTAAGAATATCAATTTACACATTAGTTTGCATTCTTAAATAGTTGATTTGTTAATGGGTCTCTCTTACTGTACTTGAAACTCATTGTGGGTGTGTATTGTTTATTTTTTTTTAATTTGTTTTTTTCCTGTTCTCTTGATTCTTTTTTGTGGTACTAAATAAAACCTATGCCATGGTGGATTTTTAAGTATATTAATGTGTAACAGTACCAATAGCTACTATGTATAAAGCAGATCTCTTGGATTTAGTTATTTGTACAGCTTAAACTTTGACTTTGTTCTTTAATTTTTCCTTCACCCTGCTCCTGGAAGCCATCATTCTACTTTCTGCCTTATGAGTTTGTCTATTTTATATTCCTCTTATCCATGAGAAGATGGACTGTTTTATTTGTCCTTCTGTATCTTAGATATTTCACTTTGCACTGTGTGTTCTCAATTCTTCTGTTACTGCAATGGTAGAGCTGCCCTTTTTAAAGGTTAATAACATTCCATTGCAGGTGAATATAGTACATTTTAGAATTTTTTATTTTAAAACTGAAGGGCATTTAGATTCTATGTCTTGACTTGTCATTAAGATCTATCTAGTGAAGTTGGTAATACAGACATCTTTGAGATCCTGGTTTCAATTACTTGGGTATTTACCCAGAAATGGTGTTTTTAAAGGAATTCTTAATGTATTTTAAAATAATTTTTGTTTTAAAATTTTAATGTTTCTCCCTCCGTTTTATTATAGTATTTTTAAGCACAGAGCTTCAAGCTTTACAGATACAGCAGAGCAAGAAACACAAAAATTCTCAGTTAAATAAAAATAATGAAATTCATCAGGAAATTCAAGCTATCTGCGATGCCCTTGGTGTACCCAAGTCAACAACTTCTGACATTCCGCAAATGCTAACCCAAGTGGAGTCAAAGGTACCATATTTCAGTTTTCACTTTCCTCAAAATTCAACTGAATGCTAGCATGGAAATGTATTAAGAATAAAAAATTTTAGAGAACAGGGCAGATAAGCGGTTGAATGTTTTAAAGCCGTGGGACCGTGAGTTCCATCACAGGCACAAGCCTTTAGAGTGTGATCTGCCTTGCACCACAGCTGCCTCAGCTAGGCCCCGGCAAGCACTGCAGCCCAGTCTGGATGAGGAGCCCCCGACTCCTCAGCACTGCAGTGACAGCTCCCAGGGAGTTGGGGAAGGGGATTCAAAATAAATTTATTTTAAAAAGTATTTCTGAGGATAAAGAAAAAGTGCCTGCGATTCAGAGAGGTGGGCTGAAGGGGACAGGAATAGAGGGAAACTGGGGAAATTGGTGGTAGGAAATGTACAAGTAGGGAAAAAAATTATTTTTTCTCTTAAGTTTATTACAGTTCAAAAGACCATCATTTCATATAAAATAAATTTTGAATTTGCATTTAATATGCATGTGACTAATTTGCATACCAGATTTAGGAATTAGATCTTTTAACATTTTGAAATTTTAGTTTTTTGCAGGGTACCTCCGAAGTGGTGCTCAGGAGATCTGGGGGCCACTCCCAGTAATTTTCAGGCGGGCCAGTGCCTTCAGGGCCAGACCAGTGGAAATGAGACCTAAAGAGTGTGTGCTCTTAAGCTATTCAACAGTTCAATGTATTGGAAATTATCAATTGAAGAATCCCTTTCCTAAGCTAGAAACTCCATCATTGTTTCACATAAGGCACACACATTTTCATAGTAAAGACTTTTGGTAGCTCTATCGCTTTTTTCATTACTTTTTTTTGCTTTGGAGCCACACCCTGAAGTTCATGGGGCTACTCTTGGCTCAGTCCTCAGAGGTTGTTCCCGGTGGTCCAGGGAGAACCCTGTGGGGCTGGGAATTGAACTGGGCCTCTTGCATGCACAGCATGTGCTCTAGCCCTTTGAATTATCTTCAGGGGCTCAGTACATAGTTTTTCTTGTTCTAGAAAATGTTTCAACTTGAATTAATTTAACTAATGTCTATTTGAAAAAGTCTACATTCTAAGGATAATTCTTTTTCTAGGATAGGGAGGTGTATTTTAATAGTTTCTCTATTATTGAATACATAATATTCAATATTATTATTCAATATTGAATAATATTCAATGAATAAAAGTATTCTCGAGTATTGAAACACTGTAAGGAAGAATAAGATTGTTTTAAAATAGAAATAGACTTATATCAGTCTTTCATATTTATTTTTAGGTGAAAGATATTCTCTCCAAAGTCCAGAAAAGTCATGTTGGAAAACCACTGTTGAAAATTGATTTAAATCTGGAGCAGGCGGTAAATTTTCCTCTTTGTTTTTTATATGTAATCAAATGACTGAATACAACTTAATTCATCACCGGATCCCTCTCTGTGATGCATGACTAACTGAGCCAATTGGGGGGTGCAAGGGCTTAGAGGATGGAGGGGCCACTGGCAGTGTACGGGGCATCAGGTTAGACCCAACATGAGCTGGTGGTGCTAGGGTACCGCCAGGGCCACACCCTGTGTTGCTGAGGATCCCATGCGAGACACGTGTTCTGTTACTTGAGCTGTCTCCCCCAACTCCTAAGTACAAATGAATATTAAAAGTGGAAGTCTAGGGGCTGGAGAGAGAGCACAGTGGGAAGGGCGTTTGCCTTGCATGCACCCGACCCGGGTTCAGTTCCCAGCATCCCATGTGGTCCCCTGAGCATGCTATTACTCAGGAGTAATTCCGAGTGCAGAGCCAGGAGTAACTCCTGTGCATCGCTGAGTATGACCCAAAAAGCAAAAATAAATAAATAAAAGAAAAAGAAAAATGGAAGTCTAGAGTTTACAGGGGGTAGCATATGGTTGTTGTTTTGGAAATGAAAATAGGTTGATATTCTACAGTGATGGGTCCTCTGTTTCTTCATATTTTTATGTTTTTAGTTAGTTTTTTTTAATTGAATTACTGTGAGATACAGTTACAAAGCTTTAATGTTGAGCTTCAGCCATACAATGATTGAACACCCATTCCTTCACGAGTGCACATTTTCCACCACCAATGTCCCCAGTATCCCCGTCCACACTATTCCAGTTCTCACCCTGCCTCTATGGCAGACAATTTCCCCAGTACATTCTCTCTATTTTTGGGCATTATAGTTTCCTTGAATTTCCACCACCATTCAAGCCTGCCTTTCAGAGGCAGATGCTAGATAATTTATTTTCTATTGCTCACTTTGAATATGAGAGGTCACACCACTGCTTTCCACACGCTTCTGGAATTCTAAGATTGTAAATGATTGGGGTCCAGAGACATCTCTGTAGGGCACTAATCTATTTTGGGATTCAATTGGGAATCCCTGGAGCAGGGCCTGGACCAGGGCCTTGCTTGTGGAAGTTCTGGGTCACCAGGGCTTCATTGGAGTGGCGGGAAGAACGCACCTGCTCTATCTGAGGTGCCCCGGTGAAATTGGCTCCATACGGGACCCGTAGAGATCTCCGGCAATGTGGTGTCTTCCGGAACTCGCAGCTGTGTGTCTGTACATTTTTAGGTAGTTGGCTTGAAGTATTATAGTCTTTCATAGCATGCGGGAGTTGGAAGTTGAAATGAGTGAAGTTTATTGGTATTTTCTTTTCTTGTTGATAGAAAATATATAGCCAATTACTTAAATCAGTACATTTGATTGAAGTTAAGAAACTCACTCTATCAGTTGTTGAATTTAATTACATATAAATTAAACTTCTAAATAACATCATAAATGTTGTAGCAAATAGTCACTTAAATAATTGCTATAATATCTTGTGGGATCAGAAAGTCAAATCAAAGTTTTAAGAATTTTAAAATTTGTATTTTGCATTTAATAAGTCTAAAGCTTAGGATTTTTGTTTCCTATTTAGGAGCAATTGGAAAAAATAAACGATGCTCTTTCCTGTGAATATGAATGCCGCCGGCGGATGTTGATGAAACGTTTAGATGTGACAGTGCAGTCCTTTGGATGGTCTGACAGAGCCAAGGTAAGGATGTTTTCCCATTGGTGTCCTGTAGGTGGTACTCTGTGACAGGTCTTCCAGCTCCTCTCAGGCACTGAAACATTTTGCAGTTCATCAGCACAGCGGGTAGGGCGTTCGCCTTACAAGCGGCCAACATGGCCGACCCGAGTTCGATTCCTCCGCCCCTCTCGGAGAGCCCGGCAAGCTACTGAGAGTATTCGATATGCCAGACACAGTAACAACAAAGTCTCCAATGGAGACGTTACTGGGCCCGCTCGAGCAAATCGACGATCAACGGGAGGGCCTTCACCAATAGTTGAAGGGATGAGCTATGTCTAGGCCAACTACTACTCTCATATTGATCCTGGTCTTATATCGTTCTCTGTTTGTATGTATCTTAATTCATCCCCCAAATCTTTCACATTAATTTTAGTGTCACACACGCGCGCACACACACACAAATGAGCATTATAGGAGACAGTGTTAGATATAAATGAGAATCTGATCAAGGAAGTGAAATATAAGGACAAGAATAATTGCAGATAGCACTGATGTTCTTAAAAATATCTCAATGGCTGTGGATTTTGTTTGTTCCATTTGAAAGTGAGTTGTTGAGTAGGAAGTTTTCCAAATATCATCTCTTCAGATAATTTTCTAGGGTGTCTTCCATCATTACAGTCTTTATATTGGCTGAACAGTTATTTTGCTACATGTGGGATAAGCTGGAATTATGCAGTTTTACTCAGATGGTGCCTGGCTGGAACATTCATGATTGTTGGTTCACATGTTCATATGCTTATGTTCAGGTGCTTCCATTACTTCTTCACTCTTAAGTGGTTTCTCTCTGTACATGATATCTTGCGTTTGTTTCATTCGACAGATTTTCTTAATTTTAAAAACCCACATATTTAATGGGTAATATAATAAATTTTTAGTCTTTTAGAGTTCTAGATATCAGAAGACCTAAAATCAAGGTATTGGCAGGGTTGCATTCCTTTTAGATGCTTCAGGGGAAAAAAATCCTTTTCCTTGTGTTTTCTAGAAAGCCTCCAGAAACCACATGGAGGATGAGTCCTTGGCTCTTGACCTCATCCTACATCTTCAAAACCAGTAGTGAGGATCTTCTGAGCTTTGTACCTTTGCTTTCTCCTGTCTCTGCCATTCTTGCCTCAGTTAAGGATCAGGGTCTCACACTGGATCTACTCTGATAATCCAGGATCATCTTTCCGTATTATGATTCTTAACTTTGATTATGCAATTGTGATTAATATATTCATAGCTTCTAGAGATTTAGATGTGAATATTCTTAGATTACCAACAGTTCTATCTCTTACTTGAATTGTTTTCCTCTTGCATTTGCATTTCTCTATTTCATGCTGTTGAGTTTATACTTTAAATAGAAACTCGAGAGTTCTGAGAAGTCCTCCCATTTTCTGCTTTTGTTCTCCTCCTCTGAGCTTGGTTTCTCCTGTTGCAGTCTGGGTCTTTGCCTGTCCATCCCATGCCATTCCAGCACTTCCTGGTTCCCATGACCTCTTCCGTTGTTTATTCCTCTTTCATTTTTTTAAGCTATTTGCTCTCAGTTTTTCTCTGATAAAACATTATACCCACTTTGATAATTTTCTTCATTATCTGGCGGTTTGGGGCCAGAACCTGCCTGCTGTGCTCAGAGGTTACTCCTAACAGTGTGCTCAGGGGTCACTCCTGGGGGCCCTCTGGGACCATATCTGCTGCTGGGATTGAACCTGTGTCAATCACAAGACAAGCATCCTGCCTGTTTACTGTCTTTCTGGCCTCTATTCTGGCAGTTTTTTTCTTTTTTATAGTTGTGTAATATGTCATTGATCACTTGATCACTTGACAATAAATAGCAATAAAATGTTAAATATGCTCTTTTAAAAACATTTTGATATTATATAGGCACGTTATAAAGGGAAATTTAAATTTAAATCATTGATATTTTTCAGAGTATGGTGCTTTCCAGGTAATTAGCAGAGTGTAACCCTGGTTGCTAACTGCAAGTTTCACACTAGTAAATGGTTTGCTTTTTAGTATTTACAGTTAAACAGACAAGACATTTTCTCTTCCTTTAGACAATTTATGCTGTGAAGATCTCCTTTCAAACATTGGTCATTATCAGAAGATGATGGGTGACCATTAGACAGTTAAATGTCCAAAGTTTCCCACTAGTTGCATGACTTTTGAACAAATTTGTAGTGTGATGTAGATTTATTTTTCTCATGGTTTGTGCTGTTTGTTAGGTATGTATATATATAACTACATAACATCAGTGTGCCTGAGAGCCATACTTAAACTTTGTCAGTGCCAAGGAGAGGTACTCTGAATGCAAAAGATTAGTACTCCACAAATAGTTTCCTATCAGGGTGATGAGATTAAATGTGTCTTGTATAGTGCATATTTAGCTTGTTGGGTAAATAAAAATTCTTGGTCAAAACTCTAAGAATATTGAAGGCATTGCTTCCTTTTTTTCTAGCATTTAGTGCTGATAGTAAGAAACTGGATGCTAGTGTCTTTCCTGTAGGTCACCTTTTATTTTTCTCTGAAAGTTTTTAGGTTATTTTCAATCTATGATGTTCTGAAAATCCACGATGTATGTGGATTTGAGTTCTTTTTTATTAAGGTGTGAAATAAATACTAAGTGAACCCTCTAATCTTTAGACTTTTAGCTTTTATGTTTCCCCTTCTGTCTTCTTTTTGAAACTCTGTTAAATATTGAATGGCTTGGATAATTATTTTTGTTTGTTTCTCTTATTCTCCTTTTTTTGGTTTTTGTTTTTGTGAAGGTCAGGTTTTATTGAAACTTAGATGTGAGAGGAGAGAACAAATACGTGTTTAAGAGAGAACACAGGCTTCTCCAGAATGGAAAAGCTGGCAGAGAGACCTAGAGAAAAGGAAGCAAGATAGGGGTTCAAGGGAGGGCATAGGCTTGGAGAACAAGCCTCTTTTTTCCTTTTTGATTCATTTTCTTACAGATGCTGTCAGTTTCATGTATTGAATTTTGTTTCTACTGCATTTAATTTGTAGAAATTGTGTTGGGGGGAGGAGGAGTGAGGGTTGTTAAATTTTTCTTTTTTCAAGACTTTTTTTTAATGGATGTTCTGTTTTTCTCAAATGAGTATAATATTTTTTGTCACCTGTAGGAAGAGGTTTTTTTTTGACGGGGGGGTGTCTTCCTTGGTCTTGTGACTTTCTTCAAATGAATAAATGGATAGTGGTCCTTGGTTGTCCATATTTAAGAGCAAGCTATTTAAAAGCAACTGTGAAGTCCAGTCATTTTTAGGAGTTGTTGACATCTGAAATTGTTGGAGCTGGCTATTGTGTTCTAGGAATTTTCCTTTTGAGGGGGATCCTTACAGAACTTGGGGACCTGGGTTCCACTCCTGGTGGACTTGACTTGACAGTGTGGACCTCTGTTCGGGTTATAGTATACTTCAGCTTAGTGGTGCTGGGGACCACCAGAGTCATTCTCATGATGTTCAAAAGGCCACCGGACACATGTGGCATTGTGGCTTTGTGGTTCAGGGGATAAAACTCAGGGTGTTCTACTCTTTTGAACATGCTCAGGGCTGTTTCTGGCTCTGTGCTCAGGAGTGGACCCTGGTGGTTTTCAGGGGGACCATTTACAGTGCTGGTGATCAAACCAGGGTCGGCCGCCTGCAAGGTAAGTTCTTTATTTCCTGTACTATACATTCATTCAATATCTCCTTTATTGTGTTGCAGGGGGGTGAGGGGGGCGGGAACGGGGTGTAATGGTCATACTGGCAGAGCTCAGTAGCTTCTTCTGGCTTGTTTGAGGGTCATTCACTTTTAGTGGTACTCGGGAGATTGATTTGGGTTCCCTATTTGCAAAACATGCCCTCTTTTCTAATTAGTGTCATTTTTTTTACTTATATTTTAAATGATACTATAATTCTTTTACAGATTTTTCCTGTATCACCACCAAAAATATTTGTATATTTTTATTTGTAATTTCCAAAGTATATTTGTAGGATAGGTGAGTCACTCCCATTAGTGCATGGGGAGCCATATGCAGTGCCAGGAGTCAAACTGGGGTTGGACACATACAAGGGAAGTACCTTAGCTCTTGTATTATCTCCCCAGTCCTCAGAATACATTTTGGGGAGTAGGGGCTCTGTATGGGGACACATTGGCTGTTCTCGGGGCTTACTACAGCTCTGCACTGAGGGATTATTCCTAGTGGTGCTCAGGTTACTAATGTGATACTGGGAATTGAACCTGATTGACTGCAAGGCAAGTGCTTTACCAGCTATACTATTGCTCTGGCCCCCAAAGACTATTCTTATAGCAGATTTCTAAATGGAAAATTTACTCTCAAAGATGATGTTCTTGATTCAGTGGGAAAAATATTTTCCACAAAGTGTTTAAATTTAAACTTCTGCTGGTAGGGTAAATTAAATTTTGTTTTTTAGTCTCTTTAATATGTAGTATATGTTAAATTTTTAATGCTCATTTGATGTTAAAAATATTAAATAAAGATTTAAATTGTTTAAATTTGTCTTTTTTATTGGTTGAATTGAACTTTTTTTAAACGTGTTAGTCATTTGAATTTCCTCTTTTTAAAAATTTCTTTTTCTATTTTATTTTATTTTCCCTTCAGTGTCTTTTTGTTTCCCTTTCAATTGAGCATCTTGTGTATTAAGAATCCTAGCCACTAGACCATCAGGGCTGGAGCGATAGCACAGCGGTAGGGTGTTTTTGCCTTGCACGCAGCCAACATGATCGACCTGAGTTCGATTCCTCTGCCCCTCTCGGAGAGCCTGGCAAGCTACCGAGAGTATCTCGCCTGCACGGCAGAGCCTGGCAAGCTACCTGTGATGTATTTGATATGCCAAACACAGTAACAACAAAGTCTCCAATGGAGACGTTACTGGGCCCGCTCGAGCAAATCGATGAATAACGGGAGGACTGTGACTGCTATTTATTCAGCCACTGATTAGCTGATTGAATTGTACATGAACTCCACCTTACTTTTTTTTTCCCATTTTTTATAATTTTATTTATTGAATCACCGTGAGAGCAGTTACAAAGCTTTCGGGTTTAAGTCTCAGTCATACAATGAAACACCCATACCTTCACCAGTACCCATTCTCCACCACCAAAAATCCCAATATACCCCCATCCCACACCCTCCCCCTGCCTGTGGGGCAGATGATTTCCACATTACTCTCTCTCTACTTTGATCACATTCACTATTTCGACACCAGACCCACCATTATTTGAGATTTTACCCCAACACCCAGATCTACCGAAAAGGCAACAATAGACAATTTGTGTTCTATTGCTGGTTATGAATAACATGATGTCGTGTGGCTGCAGTAGGGCCATGTGGTTTTGAAATTCCAAAATTTTAACACTTAAATCTGGAGGGATTTCTGCCAAAAGCCACTGGGTTTAGAGATCTGCTCCTGAGTCTCTGGGATCATGGCCGTTGAGCAGCTTGATGAGGAGCCAGAGAGGCCGTTTGTGGGCGATGACTTGGGGTCTCGTTGGGGTGGGGAGGACAGGCCCGGCTCCCCCAACCCCCCCCCCCCCCATCCCGTGAGGTGAAGCCCAACAAGTTTCGTCACTGCGGGCCCAAGCCTGACTGTCCAGTGGCCTCTGGAGGATGACAGCCACCAAGTCGCCAAGAGGGAGCAGGCGGAGGGACAACACCCTTTCCTCCCTGGGGTGGCCCAGCAACAGTAACGTACTGTGGAGTCCGGATGCATTTCTGCCAAAAGCCATTGGGTTTTGAGATTTGTTTCTGAGTCTCTGGGATCATGGCCGTTAAGCAGCTTGATCAGGAGCCAGAGAGGCCATTCGTGGGCGATGACTTGGGATCTCATTGGGGTGGGGAGGACAAGCCCGGCTCCACCCCCATCCCGTGAGGCCCTGTGTGTCTCGTCACTGGGGTCCCAAATGTGACTATTCAGTGGCCTCTGAAGGATGGCGGCCACTGGGCCACCAGGGGGAACAGGCCAAGGCACGAAACCTATTCCCACCTGGGCTGGCCCAGCACCAGTAGCCTACTGCAGGGATCGGACGCATTTCTACCTAAAGCCGCTGGGTTCCAAGATTTGTTTCTGAGTCTCTGGGATCATGTCCATTAAGCAGTTCAATCAGGAACCAAAGAGGTCTTGCCTCCAATTATATAACTGAGCCGGAGGTGGTTTGTGGGTGTGTTTCCCACATACCTAACTTTTGGCAGTTTACTTTCTTGGTAAACTTTGCCCCAAGTTTTTGGGGTCTGACCAAAGGCAGCAGCAATTTTGGGGTATCTGGAAGTCTGAAGGTGCCATGAGGCTGCTGATGCACTCGCTTCACAGGTACAGGTTGACCTGCTGGTGGCCTGATATGTAAAATTTAAAAAATTTTTTTTTTAAATAGTTGTGTGGCTTTTTTAGTTTCAAATAAAACTTTAAACTACAAATTCTTTACTGTATTTAGATTTCCCTTTGTTACATACTATACCTAATTTTTACCATTAAGCAGCAATACCTTCCAGTATCATTAAAAAAATAACTCATCTTGTGCCTGGAGCCATAGTACAGTGGGTAGGGCTCTTACCTTGCTTGCAGCCTATCTGGGTTCAATCCCTGGCACCCCATATGGTTCCAAGCCCACCAGGAATAATCTCTAAGCATCACCAGATGTGGCCCAAACCCCCACTCCTCCCCTCCTCCAAATAACTCATTCCTTTTCTCTTCCCCTTACCTTTGAATGCTGCCAGTACCATTTATTGATTCATATATTTATAAGGTTTGACTCTTGGTTGCCCTGTATCATCAATCTATTTTCCCCCTCCCCTATTTTTCCCACCCTCCCAAGTTCCACGTAATTCGTCAGCGGTAGTATAATAAACCTTTGTTTTGAGGGTCAGATAGACTTTTATTGTAAATGAGTAAAATTTTTTTCTTTCCTCTTTTTTTTTTTTTTTTGAAAATGTTTAAGCTTTCTAAGCTCAATTTTTCTTGTATTTGCAAAAGGGAGTAATAATCACTCTAAAAGGATGCTTTGAGAATTAAAGAAACAATGACAAGTGACTAGTATCTTGGCACATTTAATAAAGTTACAATGAGTATTCCCTGCTAAGACAATGATGATAATATCCTATTATGTGTTAGTATCTGGCAGAATTCTGTTTCAGAACTCTTTAAGTTATTTGTATGTATTTAGTTCTGAATTAACTTTGGACTTATTTTTCTCCTCTTCATTATAACTTCCTCAAATCAATCCAATAGATTTTCCATTCCTTTTTTAGCCAATTGAGGAAAAAACTGACAGTACTCAGTCTCCTGATCCAGAAACTTTTATCTCCATTAATCCAAGTTTTTTTTTTTTTTATAAGATTCACTGATGTTTTCTTCTTAAAGGCCCTATGTGTATTTTTGGTGAAGTTACTCTAAGTATTTTGTTTTTGGTCACTGTGAATGGAATTTTTCTGTTACCTTTTTAATGAGTTGTTACTGGTAATTATATATTCTTTTAGTATCTGTTGGTCTGTTTTTTCATTCCATATGCAAATTGTCATTAGGTATTTGGATATTTTGCACTTTACTACTTCTGCATTGTCTCTTTTCTTTCTGGAGATGATGATTGCCATTGCTTTTTCAGTTGAAATGTTTGTTCTCTGGTTCCTTTTGTCCCTAATTTTTGTCTTTTAGGTAAAAACAGATGATATAGCAAGAATTTATCAACCTAAACGTTACGCTTTGTCGCCTAAGACAACAATTACGTTGGCCCATCTATTAGCTGCTCGTGAAGATCTGTCCAAGATCATTAGGACAAGTAGTGGCACCAGCCGAGAGAAGACGGCATGTGCCATAAACAAGGTTTGTTTCTTTTGATATAGTGGAGAATGCATTTATGATATCCTTATTAAATGTTTTTATGGATTTTAATTCTTTAAAAATGCATTTATTATATCTTTATTGAGTATTCAAATATTTATAATATCTTCAATTGAATGTTTTTATGGATTTTAATTTTTTTTCTTAAAAAATGAGACCCTAAAAGAGAGAATGATAGAGAGACCCATCTTTCTGTTTGTGTTGTGTGTGGGTATTGATTTAAACTTCTACTTTCATAAATTAAACCAAAATTTTATCTGATTATGAGAAATCAAGAATTGTTTTTGTTGATAACTTTAGCAATAATTGAATTCTAAGAATTTTGTCTCTTGTTATTAAAGCTCTATAGGAGTCATTCCAGAGTGCTTCCATACTGCTCATTTCATTGGTGCAAAGGGAAACATACTTTGGGGTCATAAAACCTGAGCTTTTTTTCTGTCATTTGCTATCTATCATCCTACATTTAATTACTTTTTTATTTAGTCCCCATGAAATTACAGTTATTCATGAGTGGGTTTCAGACATATAGTGTTTCAACATCAATCCCTTCACCAGTTTCCATTTCGCTCCACCACATTGTACACCCCACTGTTTAGTGTCCTACCTACCAGTCTCATTCTATATTACCTGTCATCATTTTAAATTTCATCATTTACAATTGAGAAATCAGATGAGGCAAGTCACCCAATCACTTTGATAAATTCAAAGTATTTATCTCTTTCTGACGTTAGTCTTAAATAAGCCTAGAGCATAACCCCCTTACCTTAAAATAATAGCAGCGGCAGTTGACTAATATAGAACGCGAGTTGGCTTGACTAGCATGTAACTCTGTTTAGATCATGCATTCTGGAAACTCTTACCAAAAAGAAAAGCATCAGAAGTGAGGGGGCTGAATTATTTTAAGATATTCTATCTCATAATTCATTTTCCCTGTAATAAGAAAGGTGCCATTGCTGTAGAGAATACCTTGCCAGAGAGATGGGTTGTATTTAAAGTCCGCTTTTGGCAAAGTGTGTCAGCTCACTGGATGGGATGCTGCCCCATTTGTGACTGATTTGAGTAAATCCAATTAGATCTCTAAACAAAATTGGAAAACAGTTTGCTACTTTTTGCTAATCTTGGCATCAATGTTTGTGCTTCTTTACTACCATGTTAGGTCAGTCTCCGTTTTCTCAGTTTTCAGTCTTTAAATATGTTTGCTATCTTGCTCCAGGTATTTATAATCTCTTGCTGGAGCAAAAGTTCAACTTAAGTGACATTGCCCTTCTCTTTTTTCAGTTTATTTTTTAGATTTGGGGCTATACCCAGTGATGCTCAGGAGTTACTCCTGGCTCTGCCCTCAGGAATCACTCCTGATGGTGTTCAGGGCACCATATGGGATGTGGGGATCGAACATCAGTTGGTTGCGTGCAAAGCAAGTGCCCTACCTGCTGTATCATCTCTTTGACTTCTCTTTTGAATTTATATAATTTACCCTCTAATTATTTGAGAACAGTCTTAGTTCTTAGAGCAGTATTCCCATTTACTAATCAACATGGTTGGTGAAGAAATTGAAGAGATTAACAACTAAGGAAAGGTTTTTGTTTGGGTTTGAATATTAGGTCATTTTAGGTTAATTATGTCAAAAAAGTTTTAAAGCTAACTTTAAAAAGAATGCTTATTTACTTTGAGCCTTGCCCCACAATGTTTTATTCCACAGAGGTAAGGCGTTTGCCTTGCGCGCGGCCAGCCTGGCTGAGCCAAGTTTGATTCCTCCACCCCTCTCAGAGAGCCCGGCAAGCTACCGAGAGTATCTCGCCCACACAGCAAAGCCTGGCAAGCTCCCTGTGACATATTCAATATGCCAAACACAGTAACAAGAAGTCTCATAATGGAGACGTTACTGGGTCTGCTCAGCAAATGGATGAACAACCTGAGGACAGTGCCACAGTGCTACATTCATGACAGATTACGGAAACATTGTTTTGATCAGGGGATCAGTGGAAGTGGAACCAAAGTCATTCAGAACTTATTATTTCGCCTTTTGGGTCACACCCAGCATTGCACAGGGCTTACTCCTGGCTCATGCACTCAGGAATTACTCCTAGTGGTACTCAGGGGACCATATGGGATGCTGGGAATTGAACCCAGGTTTGACTGCGTGCAAGGCAAATGCTCTACTTGCTGTGCTATTTCTCCAGCCCCCAAAACTTTTTTTTTTTTGAAGCAGTTACTGTTTAACTTTTCTTGAAATAGCCTCTCTGGAAATTTTTTTTTCTTTTTTTTGGGTCACACCTGGAGTTGCACAGGGGTTACTCCTGGCTCTGCACTCAGGAATTACTGAGTATTGCTCAGGGGACCATATGGGATGCTGGGAATTGAACCCAGGTTGGCTGAGTGCAAACGCCCTACCCTCTGTGCTATCCCTCCAGCCCCTCTCTGGAAACTTTTGATTTTCTCTTGACTGTGATAGATATGATACCCTTATCACTGCTGTCTTTTTTTTTTTTTTATTAGTGAGACATCATGAGGTACAGTTGTAGACTTACAAATTCTTGTGCTTGGGTTTCACTCATACAATGATTACTGCTGTCTTTTTCTGTTTTTTTTTTTTCTTTTCTGGGTATATAAAGTAAATCTTTCTATAAAAAGTTGAAGACTTGAGGGACAGGGAGAGATAAAACAGGGGCTTAGGTGTGCATGCTGCAAGTCACCAACTCCAGTTTTGTCCCCAACACTGTTCCCCCAAACATGCCAGAAATGATGATCCCTGAACACAATGGGTGTAGCCAAAACAAACAAACAAACAAACAAACAAAAAAGTCTGGCAACTTAAACCAGACTCCTAGTGGCTAGAGAGATGGTACAGCAGGTAAGGTGCTGGTCAGGCACAGGACCAGACATACATGGTTCCCTAGCTCAGCCAGGAGTAATCCCTAACCACAGAGCCAGGAGTTAGCCCTAAGAACTGCTGGGTATGGCCCCCCAAAAAACAAAACCAAACTCCTTTGGTGTTTACCTTTTAAAAAGGTAAAATGATTAAGAAAGTATATTGTGTATTTATTTTCTTCATAATTATATAGCAGCCAGTATTATTGAAAATTAGTGAGTTTATGTTCCTCATAAGAAAAGAATTGGTTATTGCAAATTCTTGTAGCTTTCTGCACTGATACTTTTATTAATCTCTCGCCATGTTCATTCACATTTGTTCATATATACTTGATAGTGTGTGTTGAAATAAAATGTACTTAGAAATGTAGTTGTTTTAAATTATCCATTTACCAAATTAGTGGCAATGGAAAGCATGGTTATATGAAGTTAATGTATATTATATTATAATAAAGTTAATGTATATTATGTCTATAATGTAACTTATAAAAGACATAAAGTTAATAAAAGTATTTCATTTATGTTGAATATGTTTGCAAGACAACTCTTTTTTAGTGTAATGGATGCTGAGCGATAGCACAGTGGGTAGGTTTGCCTTGCACACAGCTGACCCAGATTTGATCCCTGGCATCCCATATCATTCCCAAGCACCTTCAGCAGTAATTCCTGAGTGTAGAGCCAGGAATAACTCTTGAGCATTGCCCAAACCTGTACCCCCCCCACCCCCAAGAACTTGTGAAGCAAATTTAAATGAGAAATTAAATTAATAAATCTTTAAATCTCAGAAATATCCCTCTTGGTTATTTAAAAATAATTTTAAAGAAATTATTTTAAATTTATGTACATTCTAAAGAATTTGATATATATTCTCCATATTAATTTATACTGCTGTTTTCATGCCCTTAAATATTTGATTTTGGGCCTTTGCTAGAAGTAGCAACTTTAGCATCATTAGCATTCTTTATGTAAATTTAAATGTTAATTTGTTTGGAGTGGTGCTTGACTGCATGTGGTGCTGGGCATTAAACCTGGGTCAGCCGCATGCAAGGCAGGTGCCCTACCTGTTGTACTATCTCGCTGACTCCAAATTTAAGCTTTTTAAAATATTAGAAACTGAAAGAAAATGTTTCTTCACAGGTGCTGATGGGCAGGGTACCTGACAGGGGCGGAAGACCGAATGAAATTGAACCACCGCCTCCTGAAATGCCCCCTTGGCAAAAGAGACAAGACGGCGGCGGCGGTGGAAGGGGTGGTTGGGGTGGTGGAGGTGGTAGAGGAGGTGGGGGTGGGCGAGGTGGCTGGGGAGGTGGAGGAGGAGGAGGAGGGGGAGGAGGAGGCTGGGGAGGGGGTGGGGGAGGAGGTGGAAGAGGAGGTTTCCAAGGCAGGGGAGATTATGGTGGAAGAGGAGGGGGATATGGTGGGAGAGGAGGCTATGGAGGAAGGGGTTATGGAGATCCATACGGGGGAGGAGGTGGGGGATACAGACGATACTGAAAGCTGGAGAAAAAAAGCAACTAGGTAACTGCTTCTTGGTAAATGCATTAGGTATAGTGTTCTAAAGAACATACTTGAATGTCATCCTTGAAGTAAAGGCGATGTTAGATTCCCTGGTGATCTCATTCTTGAATTGGATTAATATGTAAGAATATTGTTTTATACTACCATTTGCTCTCTTAGACAAAGAGATTTTTTTCTGTGTGTACCCTTGAGCATGTTGTCTTTTCTAAAAAAAAAAAGAGCAAAAATTTTTTTTAAAAAAATGTAAATATTTATTGCCACCTGACTTGGAAAATAGAAAGTATTTTATTGTCATGATTGAATTTAGATTGTTAGCTGTATTTTATTCAAGTCTGAGACACGTAGATTACCCCGCTTCAAGTGGCAAGGGATGTAGACTGTTGTCTTCCTTTTATTCCTGTGGCTGTGTTCTATATTTAATTCTACTTTACAAAATAGTAGGAAAAGACCCTGATAATTTTAATAGGTGGTCATCTTGATTCAGTTTTCCTCTTACTGGAGGCAGTTACTCTGCTGAGGTCTCCATTAAAGGTTCCATGAATTGAAACCCAAGTATACTTTTTCCTATCTATATTTGGTCGATTTTCCAGTTGAATTTAAAATTTGTGTAACTTTTTATTTTTTGCGTAACAAAGCAAAAGTTAATATTGAGGTCAGAATTATTCTAAGGGACAAGGATGTACTAGTTTTACATGATGATGTATAAAATATGTTTCTATAAACTGGTTTCTTCTTCATTTGTGCAGTCACTTTAGATATCTGCATATGAAAATACAAGATTCATTGCATTCAGTGTATCAGAATATGGGCCTTGGCAACCCTTGGTAATTCTGATTCATATTGAAATTCAGAAAACATGGGGCTTGGCAATGTCTGTGTGGTGTGTAGTAGTCAAAGGTTTGAAGATCAAGAATTTTGAATTCCAATTATAGAATTTAGTCCTAGGCCAGGGGTCCTGTGTGCTGAGATGACCTTGTTTTCAGGGATTAACTTGTTCTCATTTATAATAAGGAAATGTGGCAGTTGCCCCCTTTTAACAACAAATACCAGTACAATCTATTGAGTATATAGAGCTTCCAGCATTGTGGTTTAAAGGTGGACCAAGTAACGCTTTTGGGTTTTTATTGCATTACTGAAGAGAATTAAAGAGAACTACACAATCTTTTTCAATTCTATTAAAAAATCTGTATCCCAATAACATCTGTGCATAACAAATTTCTGTGATCTAGCTAGCAGAAAGTTTGAGTACTGGAGCTTGTCTGGATGGCTGGCATTTTTACTTTGTATCCTTTAACCCTTTAAAGAAATTTGTTCGGTTAAGGAAAACATAAATTTTATCCATTTTTTGTAAACTTACTCAAAAATTTATTCATTATTACTTTTTTCATTTTTTGTTTTTTGGGCCACAACCAACTATGCTCAGGGGTTACTCCTGACTCTGCACTCAGGGAATACTCCTGGAAGGCTTGAGGGACCATATGAGGTGCTGGGGATTGAACGTTGGTTGGCCAGGCGCAAGGCAAGTGCCCTGCCGCTGTACTGTTTCTCTGGCTTCCCAAATTAAATTAAGATACTTAAATTCACATATGATACTTGGAGGGAAATGCTTTCCATAATTAACAAAACACTGAGGACTGAAGCTTATTTGTGAGGCCCTGAAGGAAGTTCGATCCCCTTCACTTTGGGTGAAGCTCTGGAGGCTCTTAAGAACCACATAGCTTGTGCAGCACCTAATTACTAGGTCCAAGCATTGAACTGTCTTAACCACTTGGTCCATTCTAGACCCTAGTATCTTATTTTCTCCTGAAGGTAGGACTTTCATGATAACCTTCATTCTGTAAAATTTCTTTTGTCTAAGAGTCTACTGAGCAATATCTGTAACAGCAATAAGGCAATTTGGGGCCTTAATGTGAAAGATAAGAAATGCTTTGTAAATATTTGCAAATGATTGCAACATGTAGTTGTATGACGAGCGGCATTTTACTGCTTTCTAAAATCTTGACACCTCTTTTCTGTGTCTCTTCAGTTTTTTTTTTCCATATTCTCAATTTCACTTTTTTCTCTGCTTAAAAAATTTTCTTTTGCTGTGTTTAGCCTAGCTTGTACATTTAATAGCACTTATAGACATGACTTTATGGGAGTTTGTGAATTAGTGAAATAGCTGATCTCTCATATGGACTTCTAAAGGGCCTGTGTCTTGTCCATATATTCACTCTAAATATGCCCTCAGCAAAAGGGATCAGGTATTTTCTGTGAATTTATTATTCCTTTATGTTCTTCAGATCAGGGATACCTTACTTCAATAGCAGAAAAACATTTTACCTGTATTTATATCAAAAGAGGGTAAGATAACCTACAAAAGACTTGTGACCAGAAAATGTTCTTAACAGTGATAACCTGTAAAAATCAGAGTTAAAATATTTGGAATGGGAGTTGGGTTGGAGAATGGGAGTGTTTAATCTCTCCTTTGGTATCAGGTTGTGTGACATCATTTTGAATGATAATGAATTGTCATAAAGATAAACATGCCCACATTCAAATATCAGTATGGTACACAGTGGAATTTTTACTGGAATTATCTTCTCATCACAGGCTTGGCTAAACAGAAGTTGACTAGGGAATGAAGGAGAAAAGCATGGCTATCTCTAGTTCTAAATATTTATAAACAATATTTATGCCTCTGTACACTGGATTGAATTTCCACTAAACTTTATCCATAACTTCAAAGTTCTCCTCTTGCTACTTTTCTTAGAAATGTGAAATTAAAGACTAAAGCTACCCCCAAAAATTAAAATTTAAATATTTTCTTCAGGTATTAAGATGCGGTATTTGGCGAAATCACTAGTATTTGGGGAATCACAAGTCCCGAGGAAAAATTGACTTTTTCTATTATTAATGTTCTAAAAAGCTTTAGAGAAAATGTATGCTAGATAATTGGTTGCTTTTGTGTTTTTCTTTCTAGGAAAATTAAGTGTTGTTAATAGATGGGAAGTATTCTTAGCTGTGGATTATAATAGAAATTCAGGTGAAATTTCTATATACTCGAAACGAAAAAAACACAAGATGTTTATTGTTTTAGAGATCCTAATACCTTTTATCATATAAATATTACACAAAGAAAACAAACAATAGCTACAAAAAAAACCTTTACAATTTGTACATTTGGTTAGCTTTCAATTTTACACATTTTCTATCTTCAGACAGAAATTCACAAATTAAAAGGCAAGTCATTTACCAAAAACATAGGCAGAAAATAAATGTGCTCAAACTTAATTAGAGCCATACAAGACAGAAAAATTGGTAGATGCTGGACTTGATAAAATTGTTTTCCACAATCCACAAATTGATTATATTTGTGGATTCTACTAATACAGTAGAGGTCACTATGAGTATTTACACAGTATTCTTCAGCCCTTGGGCCTGGAGCTATAGCACAGTGGTAGGGCATTTGCCTTGCTGCAGCTGGCCAGGCCGAGCCGGGATGATTCCTCCGGCTCTCTTGGAGAGCCTGGCAAGCTACCCCTGACGTATTTGATATCCAAACACAGTAACAACAAGTCTCACAATGGAGACGTTACTGGGCCCGCTTGAGCAAATCGATGAACATGGGAGGACAGTGCTTCAGCCCTTGCTGGGCTGTAAAGACCTGTGTTGAAACGACTGTTCATGTGATATATTCTGAAATGATTAAGATCTTCTAGCCATATTCATGTACCTGTGATCCTCTGAATTCCTTTAGATCACAGATACCTGCAGAGAGACCAATCTGGGAATGTATTTTGGAAGGTGGTAAAAAGAATGGGGGGAAAAAAGTTATGTGACTATTTAAAGAAACTGAACTGTACTACCTTTGGTCAGGAAGGTATCAGGAAAAGAATAGTGAAGAATTTGCTTTTTAAAGCTTGTCATAAACTCATATTTGTTCATATAAGATTCATCGTAAAGTTCACTTATAAGTTTGTATACCTGGTGGTGATGAAAGCAAAACTGCTCTATTGTTTTGAGTTTCATTTTTTAAAAAAATGGTTAAGATCTATGTAAAAGTGATTCGGTTAAAATTCAGTACAACAAGTTATACAAATGGAACTGGTCTGAATAATCCAGGAAAGCAATACTGTATATATTTTTAATTTCAATTAAGACTTGGTATTCCTAGTTTTGAAACTTTTGAGATTGTATTCTTGATTGTTTGCCAACTCTGTGTGTGAATTTCAAGTCGGTTTGGTTCAAGGCTTTCCAAACATAGAAGCTAAGTTTCCCTCCCAAGATAAATGATCATAAGTTTTTTAAGAGAACAAGAAGCTGACAAATGAATTTGTAAGTGGTTGCTCAGACAACTGAATGGGCCAATTTAACATTAGCACTGCACTGTCTGTAGCATTGTCCTCCCATTGTTCATCAGTTTTCTCGAGCAGGCGCCAGTAACGTCTCCATTGTGAGACTTGTTGTTACTCTTTTTGGCATATCGATTACGCCACAGATAGCTTGCCAGGCTCTGTCTTGCGGGCAGGATACTCTCGGTAGCTTGCCGGGCTCTCCGAGAGAGATGGAGGAGTCAAACCTGGGTCGGCCACATGCAAGACAAGCGCACTACCCGCTGTGCTATCACTGCAGCATTAACTATCATTAATAGACAACTCACATGACATTACTTGTGACCCTGCCAAATAATAGTTTACATCATATGCAATTTTTCATCTTGCTGCCTACAGATCTTTATTCTTATGAATTTGTGTAAATGACTAAAAGTATAATTCACAAACACAGTTTTATATAGAAAACAAAATATTCTAAGCCATATACATGCCTGATATACATGCTATATACATATATACATTCATTTACTGAAGCCTCTGATCCAATTAGCTTATTTCTAAATAGTCTCAATACTAAAGAAGCACAAATTTAAGTCAAAAGAGAACTTTAGAAATAGTTACTTGAAAAATAACAGAACATGAATTGAGCAGACTATCCAAACTATTTTAAGTCACAAATTCCTAATTCTGACCACTGAAGACTATATGAGGACAAACATCTTGTTCACATTATTTTAGCTAATTAGTCACACCCAATGAGATGGTAATAGCCATGTTTCCAGTTTCTTAATTTGGTTGTTTATTGTGACGTATGATTGTGAGACTAAAACTTACAAGCTGACTTGCAAATGGATCTTTAGTAGGCTCCTAAAATGGTTACATATTTAGAAGTTCATTTCTAGGTAAATAGATATGTATCTTATATATATGTGAGTGTAGTGAGGAAGAAGAGGGAAAGGGCTAATGATTGTATCTGAGGTAGTAAAGAGAAACCAGATTCATGAAAAAAATGCTGCACAACTGAGAAAGTAAATGTACTTGTACAGAACATGGTTATTTTTCTGTAAGTGAGCTTTGTTCTATCTGAAAAAGATAGAACAAAGTATATTCTGACATCACAAATCTCAAATCTGGTGACAAAAACTAACACATTTTCCAGGGATTTTAATTCTAAGAAGCAATTGGGAAGGTCACATGAGAAACTACCTTGTCAGGAAGTCATAGCTATGTGTTTTGTTTTGCATGCTTTTGAAAAACAGCTTGTGATATGATTGGCAAAACTTTGCAATTGATTGGCTTTTCTTCACTTTGGTACTGCTGACTAGTTAAAAAAAATACCACCATATATTAGGAATCTCAGGTCTAGGAAGGAGTTAACTGAATTTTGATTTTTTTTTTCTTTTTTCAGTTCCATTTTAAAATCTGTGGTTCCCAGGTGTTTGTGTTAATCTGTTTAAGAAATGTGAGTTCTGATGTATTCTTCTGTAGAATTTTCTCCTTGATTTCTTGGGCTAACAGTTATCCTGCTCCATTTGAGCTAAGACATGATTGCTTCTTGAAAGCCGGAGGGTTTCTATTTTCTTCTGTGCATACTTCAGTTGGGTCTTTAAAGCATCGTTGTCTGCTTTCAGAGTATTTATTTTCTAAAGTGAAATGAGAAGGAGATATGTTAATAAAATAGCCATAACTAGCAAATGAGTAACAGTACTGACAACTATACTGGACTGGTATCTCTGAATTCATCTGGCAAAAAATTAAAACTACTTTCGGGGGAGCTGGATCAATAGCATAGTGGGTAGGGCGTTTGTCTTGCATGTGGCAGACCCGGGTTCGATCCCTGGCATCCCATATGGTCCCCCGAGCACTGCCAGGAGTAATTCCTGAGTGCAGAACCAGGAGTAACCCTGAGCATCACTGGGTGTGACCCCAAAAAAAAGCAAAAAAAAAAACCTACTTTCAGGACAGTTATTTTTCTCTGCATACAAAATAACAAGATGATGTACACTGCAGTGAGTTTTTGCTTTTTGCTCTGTCAAAGATAGGAATGTTTAAGATGCAGAATATATTGTTAATAAATGGATAATGAAAAAAACTTTTGGATATTATATATAGGAGACCACAATTTAGCAGAAAGATTGTCTGGTCAGGTTTGAAGTATGAAAGCAATGAATCAGAATGTAGTATGAGATACTACAATTCATTCCGTTCCCCCTACTTGCCCCCAATAATAGAAAACTAATGGAATCTTATAAAGAATTTTACCCCTTGAGGGTTCTTAAGAGATTATAAGTCCCTAAATGGGACTTAGCTGTCTAATTTGCAGTTATTTAATTAGAGATTCAGAAGTTAATTTCAAGTATTCTCATCTGAATCCAGTATCTTGCATTATATTAATTTCTCAAAAAAGAATATTTGAATGATCTCCAGGTTACTTTGGAATACACTGACTTATTTCTCAGCCTGCATTATATAGCTATCTGTGAGCTAGTATAAGATATCAAGCATTTGCTGTATATTATTGTTATATGATACACAGTTAGACACACCACATATGGGTAGTATGTTTCAATCTCAGAGCAGCAGAAAAAGCTTAAATGGGGGTAGTTTGAATGCAGGTATATCAGACTTTATTTTTTTTTTCTTTTTTGGGTCACACCTGGCGATGCACAGGGGTTACTCCTGGCTCTACACTCAGGAATCACCCCTGGCGGTGCTCAGGGGACCATATGGAATGCTGGGAATCAAACCCGGGTTGGCCGCATGCAAGGCAAACGCCCAACCTGCTGTGCTATTGCTCCAGCCCCACAGACTTTAAATCTTTGCTCTTTCTTTTCCCATACTGGATTAAAGGACATAATATATGCTTAAAATAATATATCATAAAATATTTGAAACCAGGGAACATCATGTCTTGTTTTTTTCCTTCCTTAACAGTGCTATTTGGTAGAGTTTCTAGGGTTCTATATGTCACTGGAAAATAAAGTTTACTTTTCCAATGTGGCTCTTTCTTCTTTGTCATGCCTAATTGCCCTGATTAGTACTTGTAATACCACACAGAATAAGAGTGGTGAGAGAGGTGGAAGTGTGCTGCTCAGGGGTAAGCACTTGCCTTATTTATTTAAGGTCCTATCCCCAGCACCACTAAAGTGGTGAGTCCTTTTCTATTCATGAACTTAAACTTAGCAGAGTTGAGAGCTTATCATATATGGCTTTTGTTGTGTTGAGGTATGTACTGCACCATGCTGATTGCTTTGGTCTCCATAGGGTAAATCCCACTTAATGTTGGTAAATGATGCTTTAATGTATTAGTGTGCTAATAATTTGTTGAGGATCTTTGCATCTGAGTTTATCAGGTATTTTAGCATGTAATTTGTGGTTTCCCTTCCTGCTTCTGGAGTAAGGGGAATGCTGACCTTACAAAAGAAATTTGGAATTATTTCTCTCCAGTTTGTAAAGAGTTTGAAAAGGATAAATATTCAGTTTTTGAGTGTTTAATTGACTGTGAAAGTTAACTGTATCATCCTGGACTTTGGTCTGTTGGTAGTTTTTTGATTACTGGTTCAATCTTATAAGATTGATCCTAGGAATTCATATGTCCTCCAATTTGCTGATAATTGTTCCAAGTAGTCTTTGCAGTACTTTCCTTTGTACTCTTTGCTAACTCTCTCCTTTACCCTTCCCCCTCCACAAACCCCCTTTCAAGAAGTCAGCTCTTAATTTCATCACTCTTTTTTGTTTGTTTTTGGGCTATACTTCGGTGGTACTGGAAATCAAACCCAGGTAGGCCTCAAGCAAGTTCCCTACCCAGTGTACTACCTAGCCTGCCCTTCACTACTCTTTGCTGTCATTCCTGCAAGTAGGACACAGACTTCTAGAGGAAGGGAATCCCTCGGGCAGCTTCACGATGTAGACTATAAGCTGGTTTGTTTGTGTTGCTGCATCTCCAACTTGATGTTTTAGAAAACGTAGGCATTCCTTCTCTTTAAATAAAATGGCTAATACTGCTGCAACTGATATCATTGCTCTGAGAGACTGTCCCCATTAGAGAAAGTCTGTGTAATCTCACTCTCACTGTGAGCTTTATATTCTAAACAAAAGTAGGCAACAGACTCTGAACTGCATTTGGACAGCTACCGGTCTCCTACTTTTTTCCTCCATTCATGAGGTGCCAGCTGTACAGTTATGCTGTTGAAACCTAATAGAAGGAGCTTTTGGTAGCACAGTTGTTACCGTTTTCTAAGTTATATGGCTATAAATTATATTTTATTTGGCACCAGCTACTGTTGATTTAACTGCTTAAGGATCAGCACATTTCTCTCAATTTTATGAAGGAGGAAAAGCTTCCTGTAGTGATCTACAATACTTTTTATTTTTTTAAGCACAAAGCTCACCTACCTCCTGGGAAATGCCTCTGAGGGTGTTAAAACAACTCTTGATGGGAAAGGTTAAAACAGACCTCTATAGGAGAGGATTTAAGCATGTTTATCTCCAAAAGGTGTGATGTCTGCATGGTGAAGCTGGTCAACAGAAACTGGGTTTAACCTCAAGAAGTCTGCTGTGACCTGAGCTTTAGTGCTTTGAAATGGTCCTTCTGTGTCAGGAAAAGACCCTGTATATCCTGTTCTATTTGTGTAATAAGAACCCATCGACTTCTTGAATAGTCAGTCCAGTCAGAATCTTCACTTTATAGGCTCTGCTCTTGTTTACACCCATTTCTCTCACACTGAAGGAAAGGAAAAAGGTACCTGTTCCAGCTCTTGGTAGGTTGGGAGTCTGAAGTGACGGAGCTCCTCCTTTGATTTTATGAAGGAATCTTTATTTTCCCACTTGACAAAAGCCCGCTTTCTGATCAAGACTGGGCTGGGGCATGGAGATGTGGGGCCAGGAACCACATCGAGTGTATCTTGGGCTGTCTTCCTCGGGGATGACAGCACAAAAGGGCTGGCAGAGCCCTCACTTCCGAGCCAGAGCAGGGATTCGGTCTGTGTGGCCTTGTGGGCAACAGTCCTCCTTAGCCGAACAGAGATCTTCTGTGAGGACACGCCCATGAGCATGATGGTCCGGTCTTTACTCTCCTCACTGTGTTCCACAGCTTCCCCATTATGGAGTGTAAAAGGTCCTCCTTCCTCGGGCGCTGGAGAGAGATACAAGATGAACTCAGGAACTCAAACTCAAGACTGAATAGTAAATGAGTTTCTTACTGTGAGAGGCCCAACTCAGATTCATTTTTTGGCAGGTTAGGGGGGCCTCCCAAGAAAGTTGAAATCTAGAGGCTTTCTAGACAGGACACGACTAACCATGATAGTTTCTGGACAACAGAAAGTTCTCTAATTCGCATCAGTAATAATCTTGGTGAGGGGTTACTAAGATTGCTAGTTTAATTCTATCTTCTTAGGAGCAGATGGAAGAAAGGAAATATAAGGTGTTGTAGTGATGGTGATAAAGACATTGCTGGTAGTTTTGATCTGATGAGCCAATACCATCACAGATAATATTAGTAGTCAGTTTTTCCTTATCACTAGCCAAATTTGACATGGTTGCCCTTTCTGTCCCTGATTCACTCGTGATTGCCCTACCACCAGCTTACTGGCTTTAGAAGTCCTTGGCCTCGGGCAGTATTTGAGAAGGGAGAGGAGTTGGGAGCTTGAGAATTGAGCCCTTTCTAGTTCCATGCTGAGTTTCTAGCCTTCATGTTTCTCTGCCACCTTTCTTTCACGAGAACTTACATTTTACGTGACTTTTTGGTCTCTGTATGATTCTTAAAATAACAGGTGCATGATAAATAGACCTCTTCCACAATGACATTTGTGGTGATTTCACGAAAGAATAGGAAAAATAAAGGTGGTATTTTCTCCAGAACTTACCATGGAGCAGGTCTCTGGCTCCTAGTGAGCAGAGGTCCGGTGTTGGCCCCCCAGAGGTGCTGTGCTCTGTGAGAGCTGCTGCATTCTTGGATCGCTTCTTGCACTCAAACACAACCAGGTCTTTGCATTGTTTGTGGCAGTTCATCCCGCAATCTGTGGACAAGACATTCTGGTCAGGAAGTCTGTACCTTACAAGCACATTCACGCTGTATTCTCTAGTCATTCATAACTGTCCTGCCATCTGCAGCCAGGACCCCCACTGTTCCTAATGACCTTGCGTTCTCTCTGGGTTCTTGATTTTTGTCTTACCAAAATCCTGACCGTGAATCTCACAAGTAGTAGCTTCTACTTTCCTGGAGGGAGAAGGAGGGGTCTTGGCTATCCTGCATCACACTGCCCTGGAGATCCCTAGTTGTGCCTTAGGTCTTATTCTTTCATCTGTGTAGTAAAAGCTCTCTCCACTCCTGAATTTCCCTGGTCCGAAGGTAGGTAAAAAGGAATGCTGACCAGTCATTCTAGTCCAAGAGATGTTCCAGGCCTTTCACTCGGGAGCCTCCTTTCTGTGACCACCTGCCCTCCCTGTGTCCAGGGCAGCCAGGGCCCTAGAGGAGTGGTGTAGCTAGGGGGTCCCAAGGTAGCCAGTGTGGGATGAGGTGTTGGGAAATGAAATGAACAGCTGCTTTGGGTAAAAATGCTTTAAGAAGTCCCTGAGACCAGGCTTAACAAAGCCCTGGCTTACCTTTACAGCGATATCCTTGTTTGATCACTCCCCAGAGCTGTGAGACAAATGATACAATGCAACACATTATTCATTAGGGTGGAGGGTGGGTGGGTGCAGATGCTACCCTCCGTTCATTTTCCCTCTACCTCAGGAGGGAAACTAGTTTCTTTCTTATGTTTTCTGCTCCCTGACTTTAAACTGAAAAGTTTGTGATGATCAGAGCCCAACATTTTCAGGGTCTCACTGATGCCCCTTGAAGTGAATAAAGCAAAGGAAAAACTTGGATGACAAACTAACATGGACAGACCCAGACAGGAGGGACCAAACCCAGATGAATTCTTTAAGGCAGTTATGTTTGGGGGGAAGGATGCAGCAGGTTCTCATATTTTCCTGACACTTGAAAAGGCATGTATATTCAGTACTCTTATACAATACTTTAGAATTCTACCCCAGATTTCGTTATTTCTTTACCACTTATCCCCAACCTCATGCACCAGAAAAGAAACAAACCAGGAAGAAACAGGAAACAATGAATGCAAGTTAAAAACCACACTTGCGGTCTGGATATTTTAAGTGTTTGCTTAAGCTCTAAAACTAGAATGATTTCAGGTTCCTGAGCCTGGCTTTTAAAAGTGTTTAGACCAGGGGTTCACAACTTACTTGACCTATTGCCCCTCTTCAAAAAAAGAAAAGCACCCAGTTCCCCACTGGAAATCTAGCTTCTCCGAAGGAGTAATCTGAAAGGTTCCCCAAAGCTACCTCCGGGATCATTTCAGAGCTCGGTGGCAACCTCACCCACTTTAGAAAACAATGATTTAGGCTATCTCCTAAACCTCCACACCGTGACACTCTATGAACAAACAACTTACAAATCCAGCACAGTTGTCACAAAAAGTGGGCTTCAGGTAGGTGGTCTCTTGGAAGTTATGAGGAAAGCCCAGGCCCAGCTTTGAGTAGATTGAGCTGGCTCTCATGAAGTAGGCTGTGATCTCATCTCTGCTAATGAGTCCTTCCCTGCCAGCAAATGACAAGAGGATGTGAGTATGGGGAAAAGGGTAGCTACGGAGCCCCTAAAGACTCCCCTTACCCTTAGTAGCAGCGTTATCTGATATGGCTTCCTTACGTGAGGCCTCAATAATACAAGGGATGCATGCAGTAAGTAGGTGGCAAGGCATTCCTCATTTCCACAGAGCTCTTCTGTTTCAGCCACTGTCTAAGACTTGAAATGACGAGAATGTGTGTCTAGAGACTAGAGGAATACAGTGCTGTGGGGTGGGGTGGTTTTTTTTTCATGTTACAAAATACATATCTCACCGAACACATTTTTGGTTTCATATAGAGGCTTGAGATACTTGGTAACTTGATAAAAGTAAACATGCTTGCAAAGCATTAGCTGTTTCAAAGGAGGAAGACTAAGCTTTTTCTTATTTATAATTGAGTATTCCTAAAATGCCAGATAGAGTTTTCAATTTAAGCATTTTAAAAAGCATGTTTTTTTTTTTTTTTTGCATTTTATACCAAAGGCTTGAGGTATGAAATGCAACCTTTTTTGGGGAGGGGGGGTGTATGTGGGGTGGGGGGGAGTTTGTTGGATCATACCTGGCTCTGCTCAGAGATTGCCTCCTGGTGGTTCTTGGGGAAACTTATGTGGTGCTGAGGAGAGAATGGGGCCAGCTGCATGCAAGGCAAAAACCCTACCTGCTGTACTGTCTCCGGTTGATGGTTACTCTTAGCCCTAATATTCATTTAAGTGGCTACACAGGATTATATCTGCATCTACAGATTGTTATAGTAACACACCCATAAACCCTTCTCATCAACTGACTCCTCCCCTCATATTCCCAAACCCCACACTCACCTGTCTTTGTCCATTACGCAGAAGGAAAATGGGAAACTTGCTGCTATCTTTTCAAACTCTTCTTGAGAAATGTATCCATCCTGGTCATGATCATAGTTCTTGAAGACAGACTGTTAAAAAATTGTTTTTGTTTTGGAGTGTCAGAACCGGCAGTACTCAGGGCTTAATCCTAGAGACTCAGGGGACTGTGTAGGATGGCAGGGATTGAACCTGCGGTGGTCACATACAAGACAAGCATCATGCCTGCTGTACTTTCATTCTACCCTCACTGCACTCTCCCAAAAGTGTTTTGGTGACAAAGGGAAAGCCATCTTTTCTCCTTTTAGGAGCCTAAGCAACTGGGTCAAAGCCTGTTAGCCTGAGAGGAACAGGAAACAGCTACAAGGATGCACTGATCACCCCCTCCACCGGCAGATGTGGCCAGGTGCTTCCAGTCTTGTCAACCCCCTGGCCCTGCTCTTTGTCCTCATGGCTCAGTGGCCAGAAACTCTCCCTCCACTCCAGCATCCTTTCATTACTCCACTCAGCAAACCCTCTCTACAAGGCAGAAAGGAGTGCAGCCTTTTCTCTGATGCTTCCTAATGCCCCTCTGCCTGCAAACCCCTAGATCTTTAAAAGGAAACCTTTTTGCGGGGGTGCTCTGGGGTCCCGCTGGTGATTCTTATTCACCCAGACCAACACAAGGATGCAGGCTGTTTGGGTCCTGTAGTGCCAGGGATCACTTGGGTCACCTCAGCGGTGCTTGGGGGACCAAGTGGTGGTGATCAGACCTGAGTTGGGAGCATGCATCCTAACTACTGCTCATTTCTAAGAGAAATCCTTTCTTAATATGCACACCTGCCCCCACACCCACCTCATAGCAAGCCTAATGTTTGCGAAATGTACCCTTGGAATGGAACTGATCTGCTGTAACATGAGGTGTGGTTCCCTGCTTGTTACCTTTATGCTTCTACCATCTCCCTCTTCCTCTCCCCTCACCCCCGCCCCGCGCCCCATTCAGCATCACCCTGGACACAGCTAAGCCAGGCAGTTTGCTGCTTTTGTCACTGAAACCCAGCTGTACTTACATCCACCATCCTCTGGACATGTTTGCTTATGGTCTTTGGGTCAGGTTTAGGAGATACTCCAGAGGCCCAATCTACCACTACTGGTGGCTTTGAAGGTGTTAGCGGCTAAAACAAGATCCAAGAGAAATTCCCATAACTACCATGAAATATAATATTATAATATAACCCACCACATCGGTGGCTCTGCAGGTAAACCTCTATCACATGCAGCTGAAGTCTCAAGGCTGTGACAAATGCCAGAATTGTGCGGGCAGTATGCAAGGTTCTCCTGCCACTCGCCTGCAGTTCCCCTAAAGTCCAGAGTTTGCATTCCACTCCATCCTCATCAAACTGAAGCTACCCTTAACTGGAGCTAAGTGCATCATTCACAATTTCTTTGTTTCTCTTCTACTTAGTAGAAATGTGGATGAGAAGATAGGAAAAGGTAGGAAGAAATACAAGAAAAGATCTGAGGCCTCAACAAGCCAAGATCGAATCTCAGCCTAATTTAAACTCCAACGACAGGGACACATACCCATTCCAGTGAGATGCTCTAAAACTGGAACCTACCAAGTCTTTCAGTTGAACATCTCTTATTTTAATAAGAAAATAGAACTTAATCGTTTTAGTTGAGGGCCAAACTAAGCTATGCTCAGGACTTATTCCTGTCTCTGTTCCATATGTAAACCAAACCAGGATTGGCTGCCTGCAAGGCAAGCTCATTAATCCCTCCACTACCTCTTGGGATCTTTTTGTGGAGAGACAATGACATTTAGCTAGCTGGACGAAGTGTGATTCTTATGTGTTGATAACTTTCCCATAGACCACCCTTTTTTGGAGGCTTGGAAAGTTCTCCGGAGACAGAATCTTCAGAGGAAGATGTTATTTTCCCTGTCTGCAGGAAAGGTGAGCCCAGCTTACTGAGGAGGTTTCTACCATATGCCATGCTGGGGATCATCACAAGGGCTCATAGGCTGCTGACTGCTCTTTCTGCCCCAGGAGCTTGAGCACCGGGAGCTAGGCTTTCCTCCCAAACTAGAAGGCCTCCCCCAGAATGTTAGCTTCTGCTCAGTTCACGTAGTCCTTTCACTCTTACCAACCAAAAGCACAGGTTAGAAGGAAACACTGAGGTGGGGTCTATAATCAATGGGTGGAGAGACCAAGTCAGCCCACACGTAGATGTCTCTGACTTAAACCACCAGTCACATCTTTCCTTCTGACGCTGTTACATGGTATAGAGCATGTAGCTTCACCACAGGTCCTATATGGTCAGAAACTGTCCCCCCCACACACCTATTCCTCTACAGACCCCAGTGCCTTCTCTGTTGCCAACACAGGGTGTGACACACCTAAGATGAACGACCGACCTATAGGAGCAGCTTGGAAAGCCCCTTTAACACTCAGACTCAGGAGTCTTTTTTTTTTTTAATAATATAGGAGTACTGCTATTTGTTTAGCCATTGATTAATCTGATTGAACTGGGTATGAGCTCCATATTACTTTTTTTTTTTAGTTGTATCACCATGAGATAGAGTTACAAAGCTTTTATGTTTGAGATTCAGCCATACAATGATGGAACACCTATTCCTCCACCAGTGCACACCTTCCACTACCCACATCCCAGTCCTCACACTGCCTCTATGGCAGACAATTTCCCCAGTACTGTCTCTCTAATTTTGGGCTTTATGTTTTGCTCAAAATTTCCCACCACCATTCAAACGTACTGCCAGGGGCAGACGCTAAATAATTTATTTTTCATTGCTCATGTTGAGTATCATGAGAGCTCGCACAGCCGCGATTGTAAATATAAACTTCTAGATTATAAATGATTGGGTTCCAGAGACATCGTTGTATGGCACTAATACATTTTGGAATTCAACTGGGAACATTCAGAAGTCTTAATATGGAAAACTCACGGGTGCTCTGTGGTTCCTGGGCTCCCTGGCATAGGAGAGCTCGTAGATTTCATCTTCTGTGTAGTAGAGATCTAGGGAGAGCTGCGGATTAAATGGAGCAAAACAGGGGTAACTATTAGGTGATGTCTGATATTCCCATTTCTTTCTTTCTTTTCTCCTTCTCACTCTCTAGTGGCTTATTTTTCTAAGCTCTTAGTGAGATTTGTCTTAAAAAATTTAAAAAGTTGGCTGTCATATCTGTTCCTGCGATAGAGCAAGAGTTTTTTAGTTTTTGAGACACACCCAACAATGCTCAGGGGTTACTGCTAGCTCTGCACTCAGGAATCCTGGTAGAGCGCAGGGGACCATATAAGGTGCCAGGGATTGAAGCCGGATCAGCTTTGGGCAATGCAAGTGTCCTACCAGCTGTACTGTTGCCCAGCCTGTTACTGTTTTTTGTTGTTAAGATGTTTTGAAAGGCAAGATGCTGTGATTTTTAAGCTATTAAGCTGGTTTAGTCTCAAAACCTTTAGACAACACTTAATAAACCCAAGACCCTATCTCACAGTAGAGGGAGCATGCAAAAAGCATTTGCCTGGTGTGAAACTTAACAAATGTTAGTAGAGTTTTGTGTCTCAGAATAAGAACATCTGAGGAAAAGCGAGGGCTTGGAAATAAGCTCGACATTTTCTATAACCATCTTAACCTTGTTCTCCATGCAATACCGGGCTGGCAGGAAATTCTGTCTTTGTGTGCCTAGTACCCCATCCTGAAAGTGGAGACAGCAGCACTTGGTCCTTGGGAGTGAGGACTAGGATGCAGTGAGCCAGGTGGGGGCTGGAGGGCGTGGGGCGGAGGCCCTTACCGTCAGCAGATGCACAAGGTCCTTGTTGGCCTCCAGTGGTGGGGCCATCTCCTGCAGCTGCACCAGCTCATTGATGTGGTTGTACAGGGCCAGTAGCTTGTGCACGTTCACCTTCCCATCCTCTAGGTAGTCTGGCATTGCTTCATACAGTGAGATGAGGTCCTTAAGGTGCACCCCCAGGATGGGGATCTTGAAGTGGGTGCACTCTCCATAGGCGCGGCGATAGTTGTCATAGTTTCTACAGGAGGACAGTAGCTCAGTCATCTCCCCCAGAACCTGCAAGGAAAAACCAGGTCTGTCAAAGCACCGTGGGCAAGGGGGACTGTCTTCAGCGACCACCTGCTTCCTGGCCCAGATCAGGCAGAGACGTGGATGGTGCAACATGGCATTTTTAACAGTGAGGTTGGACATGCTGGGTGAGGTGTTGCTGGCAGGGGGAAAATGTGGGTTTTAAGTGTGGGGCTTCTGACATGTTACGTGCTCTGAAGCTCTGTGTGGCTTCTGTAGGTCTTGGTGCAGTGATTCTCGGACTGGACTATTCTCGGACTATTCCTCAGACTAGGAAGCAGGAGATAGTCAAGACACAGAAACAACCAAGATGCCCATTGACAGGTGACTGGATTAAAAAGGCTATAGGAGTGGGGCTGGAGCAATAGCACAGCGGGTAGGGCATTTGCCTTGCACGCAGCCAACCTGAGTTCAATTCCCAGCATCCCTTATGGTCCCCCGAGCACCACCAGGAGTAATTCCTGAGTGCATGAGCCAGGAGTAACCCCTGTGCATCGCTCGATGTGACCCAAAAAGAAAAAAAAAGTATAGAAGGTACAAACCAAGTGACCACTAGGGAAGATTACATCTTGCTTTTGAGACACCACGGATGGGGCATGGGGTGGTGAAGCTATGTCAGTGAAGGAAATTACACGATGGTTTGCCTCATGAAAGACCAAAGCAAACAAAACTCTATAAAAACAACAAAAGCTGTGGTGGGAGTAGGAAAAAGATAGGGAGGGAAGAGAACAGGGGCTCAGTCTGATCCTGGGAAGGGCATTAGGACTTGGTGGTGGTGTAGTGAGGCTTATACAAATATGGGGTGAGCGGGACTCCCAAAACGAGAGTCTTATAAACCAAGAGAGAAATCAATCACATTTTAATTTTCAAAGAGTGTCATCTACCTCCAGGGAGGAACCTGAGGTCCTAGAGTGAACTTTTAGCTTGTAACTCACAAACATGCAGGTAGAGAAGGAAAGGTGCTCACAAGACAGACCTTTGTCTTCTCAGGATAGGTCAGGTAAGATGCTGGGAAGACAGAAGTTTACTAATTCATCCCACACGTTGCCCCAAGAAGCACGAGCTGCAGACAAGATGGCACCACTTTGGGGGACCACGAAGGGGATGAGTAGCTCAATGTACAAAGGCATAAAATCATATTAATGTCAGACCTCCCCCCCCACCCCCATCTGCTCTGGACATGGCTATCTTTGGCAGTGTTTCACTAGGTCTCATGGCGCTTGGGGAAGTGTAGGGTGTCCAGCACATCAGGTGTGTGGAGTAGGAGTGGGGTGAAAGATGAGTAACTTTCCTAAAGGTGTTAGACACCTGGGGAGGAGGAAAGACAAATCTCCTGACTAAGGACATGTGTGTACCAGTTGGAGGTCTACACACTGTGTTTAGTCCATCCTTTCCCATGAGGTGAAAGTGCTCCAAGAGCCATTAGTTTTCTAACCCCACCACTCCTGGGATTAAAAAGTGTATTCTGCCCAATTCAATCATGCTGGATAGTGCTCAGGGCACTTGAGAAAGCAACTCCTCAATAGGACACTAATATAAAATGACACATGAAAATCTCACTTCCAACAATCTGGGAAAACACTATCCAGAATTTCAGTGTCCACAGTTATAGACAGCAAGTTTGTTTTGTTTTGTTTGGGGGGCTTTTGGGGGTTACACCCGGCGATGCACAGGGGTAACTCCTGGCTCTGCACTCCGGAATTTCTCCTGGTAGTGCTCAGGGGACCATATGGGATGCTGGGAATTGAACCCAGGTCGGCTGTGTGCAAAGCAAATGCCCTACCCGCTGTGCTACTGTTCCAGCCCCAAAACAGTGAGGTTTTCAATGCATCACTAACTCTCTCTGACTTGCAAAACTAGCGTTCATCAGCTGAACCACTTTTCCTCCACAGAAACCATTCTGGGGAGTGGGTGTTTAAGCCAGAGACCAAAGATTCAGTGGCACACTTGATTTCTACCGGCCAACCGGAGTATGTGTGTGCAGAGACCCACAGAGGTCAGAGCAACTCTGTCAATTCTTTGAACTATGGTAGTTCTGTCCTGTGGGGTTGCTTGCAGCTTGCTCCCTCACTATTCTGTCTAACAAAGGATGGTGTGGCTGGCCTGAGGAGAGGCCCTGCTGCCACAGGGCCTGGGAAGGCAGCAGAGTGAAGGAGACAGCAGAACCCACCTTATTGATCTCATGCGGGACGTGGGAGCTTGTCTCCTTGAGCCTGGAGATGGAGCTGTGGCAGAGCCCCCCAATCACTGCCATCAGTGTGTTGAAGTTCTGGAGCTGGTGGAGCTTCTGTGACACAGAACCAAGAAGAGCAGAGTAACTGTGTGTGCCATCGTCCAGGGGGTCACTGGGTCCAAGCCCAGCCAACAGCTGCTATGTTTCCCCTGAGACTCCCGTCTGGCCCGGGGGATCCCCATCACACATGGCAGCACTTCTCACACTGCTGCAGCTGCTCTGGGGCCACCCTCTCCACCAGCGGTGTCTCCACCCCACATACCCGCAGGACTTGTTCAAACAGATTTTTTCTGCACCCAAGCCCAGATTTTCTGGGGGGGTGGGCATGGTCTGTTTGGTTTTTGGACAATAACCAGTGAGGCTCAGAGGTTACTCCTGGTGGTCCTTGGGGAACCATATGGGATGCCAGGGATTCAACTCATGTCAGCCACATGAAAAGCAAACACCCTACTGACAGTGTTATTGCTCCCCAGTTTAAAACAAAATAATTTTTTTTTTTGTTTTTGGGACACACCTGACAATGCTCAGGGGTTATTTCTGGTTCTGCACTCAGGAATCACTCCTGTCAGTAATGGAGCCCGGGTTTCCTGAATCCCTGTATCTGTAATGTACCAGGTGGCCAGATACTGAACTTTAGGAAGCACAAGTTCATCAACTGCTGGAAAAATACACCCTACAGTGTTTCAGTACTGGGCCTCCTCCACCCAGATCCCCCTTTTCCCAGTAGCTAGACAGTTACACCCACCAACTGCCCCCAGCGTGCCATGTAATCCCATCAACGACCAATATCCAGAGACTATAAAACCAAGCTCCCAACATCTCATTGTCTAGTTCTCACTTTCAGAGAACCCGGCAGGCTACTGAGAGTATCCTGCCCCACGGTGAATCTGATAAACTCCCCGTGGAGTATTTGATATGCCAAAACCCACTAACTATGATGGGTCTCATTCCCCTGACCCTGAAAGAGCCTCCAATGTGGAACTTGCTAAAATCTCAGGGCTAGGAGGAATGGAGACATTACTGGTGCATGCTCAAGGAAATCAATGAACAACAGGATGACAGTGATACAGTGATACAGTGTAATATGTTTCACCCTTTACCCAAATTAACCAGATTTTTACTTTGGAGGGCAAGGACCTCATTCTCCTATTCAATGCCAGAGGCTATATATAATGACAGTAGGTAGGAGAGGATCTAGAGTCATGGATTTTCAAACTGTTGTTCACAGTATGTTTTTCTTGGACCAGTTGCTTCTGCTGCTCCCCATCTAACGGCAAGCACACTCAACTCAGCTGGGGCTGCAAATCAGCCAGGCCATTCCAGCTTTGGTAATGTGCCTTACCTTGCTATGCAGGCCAGTTTGCGGTACCTTCTGAAATATGTTTTTAAAATGTAGGTACTTCTTAAAACATGTCAGTAATCTAAAATAAACATAAAACCATACCCCGACCCCTAAAATGGACTGGGTATTGTGATGAGCAAAGGCCCCTGCTGAAGCAGGTCTGACTTGCAGTATGAATGAAAGTTAAACTCTGGGTGACAGAGGTGGATCAAGGGGCTGAGTGCAAGCTTAGCAGGCAGGAGCCCCTGATTCCATCCCTAGCACTACAGGGGGATGATTCCTCGGAGCACTTCCAGGAACAACCCCCTGCACCAAGTTAGGAGTGGCACTGGAGATGCTGGAAAGAACCTTAACTTTGTTAAGAACCTGAGGTTGTGGGAGAGAGGCTCCAGGAGTAGTATTTAAGTTATCATGACTAGCAAATAAAAATTCATAGCCTAATGAAAGTGCCCTGAGACCCACTTTGTGAAGATTTGATTGCTGATGGGTGGAAACATGAATGGACCAAAACTGTTCAGAGTCACAAAGCAAAAAGTTTAGGAAAAGAACCCATAACTTCCAGTGAGTTTATTGATAAGCCTGCCCCTCTCACCACTCACATACTGAATCCAATGATTATTTTCCCCTCCCCCGCAATACACATGCAATCTAAAGTCATCATGCTTATGATGAAAACTGGAAAGACAAAACCCTTTATGCTTGTAGCAAAGTGTAATCCATAGCCCCTCTTATACTTAATAGTATAGTTCCAGAGACTTCTAGAACTATTAATTTTCCTTCTCTAGGTAGTTCTCAGAACATAGTCTCAGAATCATCAGAAATGCAAACTTTCAGGCTCCACCGTTACACCAGTAACCTGATTTGGGACATCTTTGTGTGTTTAATTGTGGTAAATACATAATATTCAATTGGCCATCTCTTAACCCAACTAACCATCTTAACCACCCAGTTCAGCAGTATAAAGTACATTGCTAATTTTGTACAACCAACCTCCAGAAGTTCTGTTGCAAAACTGAAACTCAAGAACTGAAAACTTAAAGGGTAAATTTAAGCAAAAACTTCCTTTTTCCCCTGGAAAAATTGGGGATGAATTCACTTTTTAAAAAACGAATTATCCCAGAGCTGGAGTGCTAGTACAGAGGGTAAAGCACTTGCTTTACATATGGCTTACTCTGTTTGGACCCCCAGCATCCCATGTGTCCCCAGAACCCGCTAGAAGTAATCTCTGAGCACAGAATCAGGAGTAAGCCCCGAACAGCACTTGGTGTTCAGAAACAAATAAATGATCCCAGTAATCACTCCTCTTCCCCACTCCAAGACTATTATAACAAAAGGAAAAGAGCAAATGTCTCTCCGTTCACAGCAGATGTTGAGATAGCTGAAGGCACACATGCCCCTCGGGGTTGAGGAGGGACAAGAAGCTCCCATGGACAGACTAAGAGGGCTTTGGTGGAAGGGGAAATTAATTACCTCGCAGGCCAGGTGGGAAATCCTGATCACTCACCTGAGCCACCTGGATGAATTTGATGAACACCTCCGCTCGTAGCTGTGGGGTGGGGCGGCTGAGAACCATCAGCTGCACCCACTGAGAGATGCCGTTGCACAGGGCGATGGACCGCTCCATTGTGGGGTTCTCCTTCACGCAGCTGTTCACCAGGTAGTTCTGATAATCGGAAAACTGGGGAGAAAGAAACCATTGCTGGGACACCACCCTGGTATTCCGGGAGACCCGGGGGCATGTCACCTCTTCCACTGACAAATGGACCCTTCTCTGCCTGCCTTCCCCTGCACCGCCTCCGCTTGTGGGTGAGAAATTCTTTCTCATTCTATCTGCAATATGCTTTCTCTACAACAGAGCCCAACTGGGTGGTGGTGGTGGTGGTGGTGGTGGTGGTGGTGGTGGTGGTGGTGGTGGTGGTGGTGTGTTTGTGTGTGTGTATCGTATGAGAGCTAAAGGCACTTGCCTTGCAGGTGGCTGCCACCTTGTTTTGAATCCCCAGCACTAGGTAGGTCCCTGAGTGCCGCCAGATCATTCCTGAGCCCAGAACCAAGAGTAACCTCTGAGACCTGAGACCTGAGGTGTGTGGTTCAACATCTACCTCCACCCCAATAAATTAAAGAAAATTAAAAGTAGAAGATGAAAATCTCAGAATAGCTCCAGCTCTGTTGTGGAGGAATAAAAACAGTTTGCTCACAAGATTCTAATCTCCCTCTCTCCCAGATTTTTTGGGGTTTTTTTGATTGTTTGGCTTTTTTTTTTTGGTTTTGGGACTGCATCTGGTGATGCTCAGGAGCTACTGCTGTCTCCGCACTCAGGAATCATGCCTGGTGGTGCTTAGGGGACAATAAGGGCTGCTAGGATAGAACTCGGGTCTGCCACATGCAAGGCAGATGCCCTACCTACTATACTATAGTTCTGACCCCTCCCCCAGATGTTTCTGTATTTAAAAATGAGCTGATAACATCTGCCCTAAGATCATGCCTCAAAAGGGCAGGGATGCAGGCAGTGCTAAGAGTGACCTCATGCTAAAAAACGAGCAGAAGCCACATGGACAACAGAGCTCGGTCACTAAGGATTTGGTGGTCAGTGGTCACCTTTCTCCAGGTGGAAATGTGCTGAGATTGACAATGAAACAGTGGTGTGAAACCTGCAGATGTCCACCAAAGCCTGTGTGAGTGTCCACATCCATTCTGCTCCATGTAGCCAAGAAGGAGGCTGAGCCTAGAGCTTGGAAGTTGCTCCACCTATTTCCAGCCCTGCTGTTCTCACACTTTGGAGTTTGGTCAGTGAAAGTAGAAGCAAGTGGAAGTACTGAGACTTATCTGGGAGTGGTGGGTGGGCCACACCCAGCAGTGCTCAGTGCTTACTCCTGGCTCAGGGATCTCCTGGTAGGACTGGGGCACCGTATCAGGTGCTAGGGATTGAACTGGGGTCAGCCACCTCATGGCAAGCTTAATCTCCATACTATGTTCATGGTTATGAATCCACTTAAAAAAGTCAGTTATCTCTCTCCTCTCCCCACCTCAAACTATTGTAAAAACAGAAAAGATCAAATGCCACTCAGCTCACAGCATGGATAAAGGTCCTCATCCTACGTCACCTTTATTGTCAGGGAAACCATTTAAAATTGCGTAGGAAAATAAAAAATGACCTAAAAATATTTATGAAGGGCCATAAGAAAGAAAGGGTCAAGCTGAGGCTTATATTCTTACAAATAGAATCGTACCCTAACTGGGGCCTCTGGGCCTACACTTATTTCCAGGGACCTCTGGCATCTACTTTAGGATTTCCCAGAACTGTTCAAATCCTATCCAGAGTGAACTCTTTTTAGTTAGTTTGTTTTTTGTTTGGGGGATACACCAGGTCATGCTCAGGGCTTACTCATGGTGGTCTTGAGGGACCCTAAGGGGTGCTGGGGATCAAGCCCAGGTCAGCCACATGCAAGGCAAACACCTTACTCACTGTCTTATGGCACTGGCCCCACAAACTCTAACTTTTTGAGGACATTTCCCCACATTTTTGGGTAGAAAATTTGAAAAAAACAACTTCAAAAGGTTCCTGGATGCCTAAATGATTATTAAGGGTAAAAGGTGTAAGCTTTTGTGTGTGAATACCTCATGACTACCGCTGCAGAGGATCAGTGTTACTGTTACGTGAGTGAAAGGTGGGCTGGGGTGGGCGGAGGTGGTCATGGAGGTTGGAAATGGGGGAGAGGCACAGGAGGACCAATTAAGGGGTTCAAATGTTTTTCTGGACCGGGAGGAGCCTGTGGTCACTGAGGGGGTCTCTAGGGTAAGGGAGCAGATGGGGCTGTGGAATGTCTTGGCTCCTTTCCAGTCTTTGCCAGAGCAGAGTGTTTGGGCCCCAGGTACCCACCGATATCCTCCGGAAGGACTTGAACTCCAGATAGGTGAGGTGCTCCGAGAGCTCTTCTGGCTCCAGGTGGTCAAAGAGCAGAGAGACTTTCCGCTTCTTGCTGGTGTTCGATTTTATCCTTTGAGTCAGTTTCCTGGACCAGTCACGGGAATTGCTTTCATAGAGGCAAAGAGTGAAATGGAAGGAGAGAGAGAAAAAGAATCCATCAAAATTACTTCTTCATGCAAACGAATCCATTAACGTTTCCCACAGAATACAGAGCATCGTTGACCAGTATTCCTTGGACAAAACAGTGCATTAACAGAGTTTCCTCAGAACAGTTTTTCTCTATGGTGGCAACTTAAGAATCTGGGTGGTTTTCAGTGACTCTTTAGCAGGGCACTGCAGGTGAAGTGCATTGATTTTAGGCAATAGGAAGCTGTGGGTCTTTCCTCACCTTTAGTGCTGAATTCTTTGTCTAGTACAGTGTGGTTTCCTTGTGGGGCACTGAAAAGATGGTAGTAGCCATCCAACCAGTGGATGGTAGTAGCCTTGTGTGCATGTGTGTGTGTGTGTGTGTGTGTGTGTGTGTGTGTGTGTGTGATTAAATGATACTTCTTTTTCAGAAGAGGGGTTGCTAATCCAAACAAATTTGGGAACCTCTATTCCAAAGACCGTGTTTCGGTTCTAGAATTCAACTTCCCAGGAACTTGCAGTTCTAGAGAAGCCGCTGCAGAATGAAAACCTTAGCAGCCACCTAGTACTCTCCTGCAGAAAATGAGGGTGGGTGCCGGGATTTCCAGAGTAGGCCAGTCTCGTAAATAAAAACATCCAAGGGAGATGCCATAGATATACCTCTAGACCCCATGCCAGAGTGTTTAATTCGGGGCAACCCAGAGGGGATGAGTGAGGTCCCTCTCTGCCCCAATGGAGCCTGCTTGGGCAGCCCAAAACCTCCAGAACTCAACCATTGCCATGCTTACTGCCGGTCTCCACCCAATCGGATGAGTCTTACCCATGAGAGAATCTACCATGCTCTCTAATATACCATTAATATACCAAAAAGCAGCATGCCACATTTGATGGGATTTAAAGTAGAAGGCAACCAATCTTAGAAATATACTTATACAGATTACAGATATATCAGCACACAAGGCTCAACCTTTAACAACATATTACTAATCTGTTATAGAAGGGCTTAATGGCTTCTGGGTGAAATTCAATAATCTTCACAGACTTTCCTCTAAGAAGTCTTTTTGTCTCACTTTTAGAAGATTATTCAAAACAATCAATACAAAATAAATTATTTTGGTTTGGCTTTGGGGGCAGGGTTTGGAGTTCGGGATGGAAATATGGTGGTGGGAAGGTGTAATTATGGTGATATTGGTGTTCGAATACTAAATGTAATCAAATATTGTGAACAACTTTATAAAAATAAAATTAAGAAAAAAAAATCCAAGGGGGAACTCAGAACTATTCCTGAGCTCCCTTCCAGTAACTGCGGCCCGTGCTCAGCACTCCACACGTTGGAAATCCCTGGCTCTGTACATGACCCGCAGTCCCTTTCCCACCTGGGACTAGGCCTGGGCCTGAGCTGCTCGGGTAGCTGCCCTGAGGGCTTCACTTTTCAGGCACAGGATGCATTTGAGTCCATGTCTTCTACCTTTGGACAGGGCCTTTTCTTTCTGCTCTTGAGTATTTGTCATTGGGGGCTTTATCTGGTCCTCAATACTCATTAGACTTTTCACCATGCTGAGGTCACTGCCTGTATGAACAGTCTGAGGTCACTGCTCCTTGGACATGTGCGCGCTGCTGAGCCCAAAGCTTCCCTGGGCAGCTAGGATGACCTCAGGGGAGGAAGGGCAGTTTTTGCCAGTTCAGTTCAAACCTGGACACTCACATCTGAGTTGTGTCAATGAGCCGGCAATGCAACTCCTCCCCATGGGCTTTCACCAGGTCCTGGAACTCCTCCATGGTATGGGTCAGGCTGGCGTCCATCTTAAACATGATCCAGAACTCCGTGATCCAGTATCTACATGGTGCAAGACAGAACATGTGACAGAAACCAACGTCACTGAATCACATTCCAGAGGGTTCGCCCCACCCAGAGGTTCAGAAAAAGGCAAGAGGCTGGGGTCCTACTGTATTTTTGGAAATATGGAAAAATAGATTCTATACAGAGAGGAAAAGAGGGAGAGGGAAGGAAGGGGGAGAGAGAGAGAGTGAGTGAGAGAGAGAGAGAGAGAGAGAGAGAGAGAGAATAGGGGTTAAGGATTGAATTCTAGTCCCTTGCTTCAGTCTCTCACTGTACCCAAATCTTTCACTGTCTAGGGACTCCAACTCCCAGGCATTACCTTACAAAATAGCAGATCTTCAGGCAAAGTCCTGGAGAATTCTTTGCCAAGGCATCTTTATAGGTGAAACTATGGTTAAGGAAACAGAAGCCTCTATCAACAGAAACCACACAACTGCTCATCTTTGGAAGGATTTCCAAAAACTCTCTCTCCATTCCAGCATGTTCATGTGTGTTTTTGTGTGTGGTAGCAGATCACACCCAGGGTCTCACCCAAGAGAGGTAAGACCACTCAGCTCAATCCCTAAATTATTCTCTGAAACAATTTTCTTGCCTCTTCAATCACAGGGTAAAAGCCATCTTGATGTGTACAAGCTTATCATCACCTAAAGGGTGATTGGTGCCTCTCCCTGCTGGGCTGAGAAGGAGAACAGCTGGCAACTGGGAAAATGGATGAATGACATGGGGTGACATGGTACTGGACAACTCCTACTGCCAACTCCAGTGTAGGAGAACCAGGATGCCAATGGCATGGAGGTCCTGTGATAACTGAAGCAGTGACTGGCCTCTGGCTGTGCCTATCAGACCAAGATGCTGGAAGCCAAGTTCAAAACAAAGCAGTCTCTCATCCTTGGAAATGTCTGCAGTGACTGATACACATGGCAGTGAAATAGAAGAAAGGGAATGTTCAAACAATTGTTCTGATAATTAAGAACAATCCTATGAACAATGAGAATATATAAAGGATGTGTGTGCCTGGACCTTTGTTGTACTGGCAAATCGACAAAAGCTGCGTGACCCATGTAAAAATCCAGTCAGAGATGACTTGAAGGAGCCTTATCCTGTGGAATATTGCAAGAGAATGTTACCAACCTAAGCATGGGAAAGAACAGCAAGGTCCCCTTAAAGCTCAGGGTTTTATTTTTTTTTGAGATGTATGGAAAGACTACTGATTGACTGAACAAGTTAGAGAAATGCAAAAATCCACTCCATTTTGGTATGCTGGGTGGGCCCTACCATCTTCTATCAACTGGCTGAAACATGATGCTGTAAGTAACTGTGATTCTGGGTCCAGAGAATGCCAGCCTGAGAGGATGCAGTGAATGAACCATGGGCTGGGATTTCAAGCCATGGAGGCAGCAATGGTCTCTTTCAGTGGGTGTGTGGAAATTTTAGGATCAAAGACAGAGAAGTACAAGTCCAGATTACAGTACTGAGATGGTATAGGCCCACTCTATTTAGGAAGCAATTAGAAATTAATCTTTGGGCCAGAGTGATAGTACAGTAGTAGTATGCTTGTCTTGTAAATAGCTGACCTGGGTTTGATCCCTGGCACCCCATATGGTCCGCTGAGCACTGCCAGGAGTAATTCCTGAGTACAGAGCCAGGAATAATCCGTAAGCATCACCAGATGTGACCCCCCACCCAAAATAAAACAACCCCAACAACAACAAAATGAAGAAAGATGAAAGTCTTGAAAATTCAACTGCGGATACTTAGTCCAGTGCTTTAGAGTTATTAATTTTACAACAAGCACTGGAATATTTCAGATAATGTCAGCTTTATGGTTTATAATCTGAATCTATTAGAGTGGCAAAAATTAGAATTAAGGAGTAATCTGAAATACTAGGGACTGGAGATACAGTACAGTGGGGAGGGTGTTTGTCTTGAACAGGGTCAACCCAGGTTCAATCCCCGGCATCCCATATGATCCCCTGAACCCCCTAGGAGTGATTCCAGAGTGCACAGCCAGGAGTAACCCCTGCGCACTGCCCGGTGTGACCCCAAAGCAAAACAAAAAAACTGGAAAAAATCTGAAATTCATAACTGAAATTAAAAATGGGAGTTTTAAATTTCTGGACACATACAATTAATTAGTTTTATTCAAATTAACCAAACTTTTCAAGGCCCCCTAATGCTGGGGAAAACATGCTAAATGTATTGAAAGAATATAAAAAATCATAAACTGGACTTAACTCCTAAAGAACAAAAGCTGTAAAATATATACTTAAAAAAAGTGACTTGAATTAAAAATTAGCTTTTTAAAATAGTTTTTTAAGTTTTGTTACTTGACTTGATTTATTTGCCTGCAAAATCTATCCCCTAGGAGCACCAAAACAAGCACCCACACGCATCAACAAAGAAAGTCAAAATAAAAATAAGTCTTGCAGTTAGAGACAAGTGCAGTGGGTAAGACACTTGCCTTGCACATGCCTGACCCAGGTTAGATCCCTGGCACCCCATACGGTCTCCCCTGAACAGTGCCAGGAGTTAGCCTGAGCACCACTGGATGTGGCCTCAAAACACTCCCACACATTCAAGAAAAAATGGTTCAAGCCCAAGGCATGCTACACATGAACCCATTTCAGATGCTACCTATTACCTGCTCTGCTTGTTGGAATGTTTCATCATCCTTTCTCATGAGGAACCAGCACAAAAACATAACTCTGTTCCACAACCACTTGGTGGCTATAACCCTCAACCTGGTGACTTCCGCTGTGTAGTTTCTCTTTCTCCTGGTCACTGTGGGTGGGGAGCATATGTATTGGCAGTCTACATCCCAGTGCTGAGCACAGGGAGGGGGTGGGGGCGGGGGGCAAGGCAGGCACAGCAAACCACTTGGGGCAGAAGCCACCTAATGTCATCCAACCCCCATGGCAGGTAGGGCACCTGTTTTCTCAGTGAGGAGATGAAGCAAATGCGCAAATGCCAGCATTAACAGCTCTGTCTGCTGGGCCCTTCTGCCTCCACGTCTTCTCCGCAACATTGCTGGGAGCATCGAGCAACAGGAAAGGGGGCATCTGGATGCTTTCCAGCATGTTTCACAAACCTGCTACCCCCCCCCCCCGCCCCCACCCCTTTCCTACCAAAGGTGGGAAAGTAGGAACCAACAGGAAACCTCATGAGCTTATATTTTTGCTTTGGGATCACACCTTACAATGCTTAGGGGTGACTCATGGCTCTGCCCTCAGCCCTCAGGAATCACTCGTATGATGCTTGGGGGACTATATAGGATGCCGGGAATCGAACCCAGGTCAGCCGCGTGCAAGGCAAGTGCCTTATACACTGTATAATCACTCTGGTCCTACTTTAACCCATTCTCTTCCTTCTAGGTCTGAGAACAGGCATGGAAGGGGAAAACCTTGTTATTCCTTCCCTGCTTAACCAGTGTTTCAATGACAAGAATCATATCTCATATTTTGTTCTCAGAATTCCTCTCCCCAGATTTCTCCCCTCAACATTGTGAGAACACACTGCACTGTTTTTGCACCTGTAGCCGAGCCACGTAACTTGGGGCAGCTGCTATGCCAGGCTAGAAAAGCGAGAATAACAAACAGTGCTGGTTCCCACCATCAAGGAGGGCACATCAAGTGGGGGGAAGGACAGGTCATTATAAGTTACAGTGTAGCGTGTGTCTTAAAGAACACATTAAAATTTTTTTCTTAAGGTATCTTCCTATTCCATGACATTTTCATTACTCTTTCAGATGACTAACAAAATTCAAACTGTGGCAAGTGGTCACAAAGGTTCTGTGGCTTATTGACTCAGTCATCTAAGAACAAAGTGCTGACGTGTTACACCACAACTTACTTACAGGCAGCGGTGCAGGTGGATCGATTTATCTAGCTAGAGGGATAAAAACACTGCACCTTTTCTGCAACTCAAGAGAAAAAGCTTCTCAAAGTATACCAGGCCAGAGATAGATACAGGTTGGATACAGCAAAGGAAACAAGATTATCTCCTAACTGAAATTATTTCACTAAACTTTTTTTCGACTTTTTTTGGGACACACTAAGGTCAGCCACCTGCAAGGCAAGGCCCCTAAACTTTGTGCTATCTCTGGCCCACTAATATTTATTTATTTATTTATTTTGGTCTTGGAGCAACAGTCAGCTTAAGTCATGGCTTACTCCTGGCTCTACACTCAGGGATCCCTCTTGGTGGGCTTGGGGCACCCTATGTGGTGCCAGGGATCCAAATGGGTTTGGCTGCATGCAAAGTAAGCACCCTACCTGCCATTCCATCTCTCCAGCCCATACATGCAGCTTTTCTTATGTGACTCCCTCTCAGTGCTCCCTCCTTGGACTGCTCCTCAGAGGAGAGGTGACAACTTATAAGGAGGGTTCAAGAAGGGATTCAGTTCTACAGGCTTTCACCTAGTTTTCTGTGTGCCCTTTGATGAGAAGGGAGGTGCGTCATGATAGGTGACTCAGTGCCAGGAGCCCATCTAGAGATGCCAAACAGTCTTACTCGCCCACTGCTGTCTATCTTCTGGGAACAGAGTTCAAGTCTCCAGTGATGGGGAGCAGTCTCTTCTCTACCCCACTCACTTGAAACCCCGGGAGTAAATTAACATCCAACAGGGTTTGCCTGGGCACAAATCCAGGGCCCCTGGCCAGAACAGAAAAGCACCAGTGGACACTTCAGCTCTGCAGTGCTGGGGAGCTTTCTTCAGAACCTGGGGATGCTGGGAGAACTGACCAGAACAAGCACCTTGTCAGAATCATGTCTGTACCCTAGTCAATGTGCACAGGGTGAATATGAAAAGTATTTTTCACTAGCAGAGACATGAAAGGAAATGGCTTGCATGTTGATTTTTTTTTCTCTCTGGATTACACCCGGCAATACACAGGGGTTACTCCTGGCTCATGTGCTCAGGAATTACTCCTGGAAGTGCTCGGGGGACCATATGGGATGCTGGGAATCGAACCCAGGTTGGCCGCATGCAAGGCAAACGCCCTATCCGCTGTGCTATTGCTCCATGTTGATTTTGTTGATTTCTTTGACTGTTTCCCAGAACAATCAGCATCAGTGGTCTTGTCTTAGCAAAATAAGACAGACACATACACACACACACACACACACACACACACACACACACACAGAAACTCATCAACAGCAATAAAAATTGAAGTGTGTGGCACATTGTCCAGATCCTTTTGAATGTGCCCCGAGGGGTGGTTGGCCTGTTGGCCTGTGTGCAAAGGATATAGCACCATCACTTTTTGGAGCAGCTCTGCAGAGGACACAATGATCCGGTGCATGGTCAGCATAACCTGCAGCAGCTGGTTACTTCGACACAGGTTTCCATCTGCATCTGAAAACACAAAGAGCAGCATTGGTGTGAGGAGGCCTGTGTGAGGTCCAGAGAGAAAAGAGTCACCCGTGGGGCCTGAACAGTGGGTAGGGCGTCTGCTTTGCACGCAGCCAACTGGGGGTTTGATCCCCTGGCATCCCTTATGGTCCCCCCAAGCGCTGCCTGAAGTAATTCCTGAGCACAGAGCCAGTAGTAGCTGGGGTGAGCTCGAGCACCTCACTGATGCCTGCTTCTCTGTGTGTGTGGTGCGGGGGGGCTGTCACTGTTGGGGGTGGGGTGCAGCAGGAAGCAGAGCTTTTCTTCCACACCATCTCCCCTTCCTCAGAAGTCCCTTTGGACAGCACAGGCAGGAGAAACCAGGACAGGGACAACTTTTACACCAGACAATGGACTCTGCTGAGAGTAAGCAACCCAGGCCTGGAGGGCCTAGAAGATGTGTAAGTGGGATGTGAGTTTAAAAACGGTCCCCATGAAAAGAGGGCGTCTTGAACTGCAGTGTAAATGCTTCCTTTTGCAGATTTTGCCATGCTGTGTGCCCGTAGCAGTGCATTTCTGGGGTTCTCCACCAACGCTTTTGGAAGCAGCTCATTAAGTGGGAAGCCCTGAACAATCAGCATGCTGAGGTTTTTTTTTTTTTTTTTTTTTTTTTTGGTTTTGGGCCACACTCCACGGTGCTTAGGGGAACCATAACATGGTGCCTGGGATCAAACCAGGGTCACCCAAGTGTAAGGCCAGCACCTTACCCCTGTATTTTCTCCATCCTCAAGTTTGATATAGATACCTCCGGATGGAAATAAAGGAAATACACACTAATCCCTTGGAGATTAGGAGTTGGATTCAGAAATTCAGGATGATTTGTAACAAAGAGCATCAGTGACTTGAATTTTCAAATCTTTGTCATTTTTGGGATCATACCCAGCTGTGCTCAGGATTTACTTCTGACTCTGTGCTCTCCTGGAGGGGCTCAGGACCATATGTAGTGCCAGGGATTGAACCTGGGTCAGTTGTGTGCAAGCTGCCCTGCCTGCTGTATTATTGCTGGAGCCCCAGGATTTCTGATTTTTCTGGTACCAAATAAAAGATGCATTCTAGACCCAGGCAGTGGGCAATCAAGGTTCTACCGGGAATGTGTTTTTAATCCTTTCAACATTTCTGGCTTTAAGTGTCAGTGGACATCTGCTGACACATGTAGTTGTCCCTCCCAGAGGACTATATTCCAGTGCTCCTTTGCCTGCTGGCTTCCAGCTGGGCTTTCGACAGTGAGGAAGCATGAGGAAGAGATGGGAGGAGAGAGAACACAGGGTATTTCTCAGGCTCTCTCTGCACTGATTGCTCCCCAGCCCTGGCAGCAGCTACAGCTTTCTTCCACAAATCATCACTTCCTAGCTCCAGCTCTCACTGGGCTGTAACACCGTCATCTTCCTGGCCCTTTGGCCCGAAGGGTGCTAATAACGGGGGCAGCTGATCATCTCTATGGGCGGCATCTTTTTGTGGGAGCTTGAGGGGTTTGCACTACACAGCAGTGCCTGGGGAACATGTGCAGTGGTGCTAGGGCTGACTGTGTGCACAGCTAGAACCCTGACCCTGTACTGTCTCTCTAGCCCTGGGGAGACAGGAGCTTGAAGAACAGCATCTCTTAACTGCATTCCTTTCCTTCCTCCATGAAGTATCTGCATTTAAACAAACCATGCAAATTCTGGTCCCTGCTGGGAAGGATTCAGAGGAAAATATCAAATGAAAGCATCAATGTGATCGGTTTTTATTGTTCCATAGCCCTTTAAATGAATGGCATTATATAAAAGGGATTGTCATTTCCATTCTTTCCCAATGCTTTTGAGTTCAAGATGTAGAAGTCCTGGCAGGTTCTCGATGATAACATCAGGTTAGATTTTACTGGGTAAACATGGAAGAGCTGACACAATCCCCCCAACCCCCACACCTGCTGGGTTACTACCCCTTTCTTGTGCCTCCCTCCCACCTCCAGTACTCCCCCCACCCAGCACTTTGCAGTTCTGAGTCAGAGCTGCCCCTGAGCTGTGAGCAATCTGAAGGACCCCGATCTTGCCTTTGGCTACTTTCTTGCATTATCAACATTACCCCTTGTCCTGGTTTACTTGTTGTGGTTTACTTTGAAATATGCAAAATCTCCTATTTCAAACAAAATCAAACCATGAACTCTCTCTCTCTCTCTCTCTCTCTCTCTCTCTCTCTCTCTCTCTTCTCTCTCTCTCTCTCTCTCTCTCTCTCTCTCTCTCTCTCTCTCTCTTGGGTCATACCTGGCAGTCCTCAGGGGTTACTCCTGCGCTCAGGAATTAATCCTGGTGGACTTGGGAGACCATATGGGAAGCTGGGGATTGAACCCTCATTGGCTGCATGAAAAGCAAATGAGTACCCACTGTACTCTTGCTCTGACCCCCAAACCCTAAAGTCTTATTCATTCTGGCTACCTCTTATTTCTCTGTTCCCCTTTTCTTTCTTTCTTTTTCTTGTTTTGGCATAATTTTTGTCTTAATTTAATAATTTTGGTCTACAGTATTATTAATAATGTTTTTCATGGACATAATTCCAATACCACACCCATCACCACTCCCTCCCCCCAGGACCCCAACACCTCCAATCTCCCCATTCCCTCTAACTGGCACCAACTCAGTGTGTATCTCAATTGTGTGTACGGCTCTGGCCCCAATTTTGAATTTTCTGAGTCTCCACTAGAAAATAAGCCCTTGAAAACTGAGTTTGGTTTTTCTCTTATTTTCAGGGTCTGGAGTAGTGCTGATAATGGTAGATGTTCATTAGAAAATTGAGTAAATGAGTGACCCATACAAACACGACGTCCCTTAACTTTTTAATATCTTCTGATACTAATTTGCTTGTGTCATTAACTCTCATTTTCTTCTTGGCCACAGTTTATAAAACAAACTAAAAGTTACTATTTCATAAATCATTGAAATGAAGTGTCTGCCTAAATAATTATAGTTTTGTGGGGTATTCTTCTTTTTGGGTCATACCCAGCGATGCACAGGGGTTACGCCTGGCTCTGCATTTAGGAATTACTCCTGATGGTGCTTGGGGACCATATGGGATGCTGGGAATAGAATCCAGGTTGGCCACGTGCAAGGCAAATGCCCTACCCACTGTGCTATTGCTCTAGATGCAGTTTTGTGAGTTTTTTTTTTCTTTTTGGGTCACACCCAGCGTTGCACAGGGGTTACTCCTGGCTCATGCACTCAGGAATTACTCCTGGCGGTGCTCGGGGGGCCATATGGGATGCTGGGAATCGAACCTGTGTCGGCTGCGTGCAAGGCAAATGCACTACCCGTTGTACTATCACTCCAGCCCCAGTTTTGTGGGTTTTTAATTCTGCTAAACTCACATCCTTGTGAGGCAAGAATAACACTGCTTATCTCTAGATTTTCTGGCTAACTTATTTTCTAGAATAGTTCTCTTGCCATAAAAATTTTGAATGACATAGTGATCAGAGAGATAGCACAGAGGAAAGGCACTTGCCTTGCATGTGGTCAGCCTGGATTTGATTCCTGATATTGTATATACTCGAGATCTGTCCGCAGTGGCCACGACCACAATGCTAGGAGTAAATCCTGAGCACAGCTAGGACTGCCCTTAATATATAAAAAATAAAGCAAACCTCCCTCCCTCCCTCCCTCCCTCCCTCCCTCCCTTTCTTCTGCATAACAGGGCCAGGGAAATAGCTCAAAGGGTCAAACACATGCCTTGCACCTATGACATTCTGAGTTTCATCCCTGACACCATATGGTCCTTTGGCACTGCTCCAAACTCAGAACTTTCATTTCACCCTTTCAGGGAGAATATTTCCACAACCCCTGGGCATCACTTGGAAGGTCTCAATTAAACAATGTTAAAATAGAAATTCTGTGAAACAAAACACGCTCAAATACGGTGACTTAAAAGAGGAGCCATTTGTTTTTTTGTCCATATCTGTGGGATGATGGTGGTGAAGCAATAGGCCCCTCCTTGGACCAATGACAGTGATGATAGGAAGTAAAGGACCCCTGGAAATAGTGAAGACTTCCTAAGCCTGCATTTGGACGGGAATGTGGGGCCTTCTGGCTTGGTGTGTTGGCTGAAGCAAGGAACAAACACAGTCCAATCTCAAGTCAAAGGGCAGGTAACTCAAAGTCAGTGATGCAGGAAAGTGGAAAACTGGAGGAGTGTGTGTGTGGAGACTGATATATTCAAGTCTACCACAATTATGGGGGTGGGGAGGAACTTCCTAATTCAGCATCTGACATAATAGTCTGTCCACTCACTTTTCCCCAAGGAAGAAGAAGTGATACATTCCTATTCCCATGCACTCTGGTACAGAGCAGGAGAAACTGTGAAATGCATTTGCAGTTTTTGTGTTAGAATTTTTATAGGCGTAGAGGACACAGTCACAGGCTTAATTGTACAGGAGCTAAAAGCTGGGTTCGCACTTGGTCCCTGTGGCTACCAACCTCTCTCCATGGATGCTCATCTGTTCAGGAGAGGACCTTAGATCTATCAAAGGACTGGATTTGGGAGCATTCAGAGGACTAAATGCATTTGCCAGGAGAAGACCCAGGAAAGAGTTGAGGATCATGCTCAGGAAGTTTAGGCTCATTCAGTGGGACCACAAAAGACAGAACCAAGAGGATGAGAATAAGTTGTAAGAGAGAACTGGATGCAATGTGACAGAAAATTCTACCATAGGACAAGATGGGGATGGAAGTCTTCCCATCACAGGTGCCCAGGGACGAGGCTGCAGAAAGACATCAAACAATCATGATATAATTGGCAGAGTAGGGACTGTGCACGCGCAGCCTGCAAAATACCCAAGGCTGTGCCAAGCATGACGCAATGATAAGAATTCCAATTTTTGCAATTTTTCTGCAATGTTGGTAAAGGTAAAGGTAAAGGCCCTCCCGTTGATCGTCGATTTGCTCGAGCGGGCCCAGTAACGTCTCCATTGGAGACTTTGTTGTTACTGTGTCTGGCATATC